CAGTGTGGGCGCTGCTTTTTAAGCTCTTCGTAACATTGCATTGCTTTTTTTCGTTGCACCCCTATTCATATTAAGGTGGCTAAATACAGTTTTTTTAAATGGAAAATTCACGATTTAGATGCGTATTTTTGGACAATTATTACTTGCTGATAAACACAAACCCTACTTTTATAAAACAACATCTAAAGAGTATGAATTTTTGCACAAAAGTTACGCAAAACACGTTCCAGAGCAAAGTGAAATATTCTATTTAAGAAAATTCATGCCAAATTTGACCAAAATTCTAAAAATTGTCAACAAATGAACAAAATTCGTTTCGTTAATGCTAAAAAGCCAAATTTAGACAATAATTTGCCACAAAAAATGAAGTGTTGCAAGATTCGATATAAATTGGTCGTTTTATAGCATCATCCTGACATTTATATACAAAATAGTTTACACTAATTACAGTCAGCTAAAGCATTGACATAAAATCTATATTTTGGCACTGCAATTGCAGCGCCAACTCGAAAGCATGGACATAAAATCTACAACATATTGGCACTGCAATTGCAGCGCCAACTAAAGGCATTGACATATGATCTACAACTTGTTGGCACTGCAATTGCAGCGCCAACTAAAGGCATTGACATATGATCTACAACTTATTGGCACTGCAATTGCAGCGCCAACTAAAGGCATTGACATATGATCTACAACATATTGGCACTGCCATTGCAGCGCCAACTATTGGCATTGACATATGATCTATAACCTGTTGGCACTGCAATTGCAGCGCCAACTAAAGGCATTGACATATGATCTACAACTTATTGGCACTGCAATTGCAGCGCCAACTGAAGGCATTGACATATGATCTACAACTTATTGGCGCTGCAATTGCAGCGCCAACTAAAAAGTAAAGGCATTGACATATGATCTACAATATAACTTATTGGAACTGCAATTGCAGCGCCAATTGAAGGCATTGACATATGATCTATAGATTATAACGTTAATTTATTGGCACTGCAATTGCAGCACCAACTCAAGACATTGGCCGTTTTCATACTAGAGACGCATTATTCATCTGGACGCATAATCCGTCTTCTACATTATTCGTCTAGTATAAAGACGGGACGAATAATACTAGACGAATAATGTAGAAGACGGATTATGCGTCCAGACGCATAATGCGTCTCTAGTATAAAAACGGCCAATGCGACGAACTATCAACATTTATTGTTCGTCTGGTTATGCGTTCTCAGTATAAAGACGGGTACAAGACGCATTATGCGTCTAGACGAACTACAGTATCATCGGTTGTGCGTCTCTTAAGACGAAGAATCGAACATAGTTCGTCTAGACGCATAATGCGTCTTGTGGCCGTCTTTATACTAAGGACGCATAACCAGACGAACAACAAATGCTTGCCCAAGTTCGTCCAGACGCATAATGCGTCTCTAGTATAAAAACGGCCAATGCCATTGATATAAAATCTATAAGTTCATGAATAATGGTACTGCAGTGCCGACTGCCGAGACGAGATGGAAGGAGAGATGCCTTTGAACAACATTTATGGTAAAATTAAGACATTCTACAGTGTGATAGGGCCAAATCCCCATTTTATTCATTGACAGTAGTAAGTGGTGAGTCAGAAATTTAATTCACTACATCGGTATATGTTCTTCAATAACACTATGATACGCAGTATATAGAAACCATCCAGTTATCAAGTCTTTAAAATTTCTGTCCTAGCTGAGACTGAGGCCTAATGTGATTCAAACAAATTCTGCAATTTATAGTTAAAATTTTCCTAAATGTTCAAATCAGTTAAAATTGCAGAATAGAGAATTAGTTATTCAGTAGAAAACAGTTATAATAATTCCTAATTCCTCTCCTCTGCCATAAAATGACACATTTGGCGTTTGGTCTCTCAGCAAAACTTTGAGTCCTGTAATTCAAAAGCGGCAAGATCAACACATTCTTTCGATAATTCATCCGTCCATATTGTGCCACCACATGACCATGGTACTTTTTAATTTTTATTCCATCTTCGAATCAACATGGGTCACTCCAGGTCTGACATACGGTCCTGTATACACCTATAAATGCGATTAAATGTATGATCAAACTACTAGCTGAAATATAATATTAGAGAGTTTATTACATGTATAGGTAGCGTATTCTGAAATGAGACACAAGGGTTTTAATTCAACTGGGCCTGCTAGACTAAAATGACTGAAAAACGGCAAACATTGCAAGTCACTTGGTGGAATTAATATTAGAATGTTAGTAATTCAAGTGAGAATATATACATTTTAAGACCTAACCAGGAACGACTGTGAAAAATGCAGCACAAGGTCCTCTGGTAGGAATTGAACCTACGGCCCTGCGATTCCGGTGCAGCGCTCTAACCAACTGAGCTACAGAGGCCAGCTGTTGAGCTGTAACCATAAGTTCATGTATATATAGGTAATCGGGTGTGCGGGTTGTGATAAGGTGGACTTGAATAACTTAGATTCTGCACTTCACTTGGTGGAATTAATATTAGGATGTCAGGGTTTGTGATCCAAGTGAGAATATATACATTTTAAGACCTAACCAGGAACGACTGCGAAAAATGCAGCACAAGGTCCTCTGGTAGGAATTGAACCCACGGCCCTGCGATTCCGGTGCAGCGCTCTAACCAACTGAGCTACAGAGGCCAGCTGTTGAGCTTTAACCGTAAGTTCATGTATATTTAGGTAATCGGGTGTGCGGGTTGTGATAAGGTAGACTTCAATAATTTGGATTCTTGCACTTCACTTGTTGGAAGTAATATTAGAATGTTAGGGTTTGTAATCCAAGTGAGAATATATACATTTTAAGACCTAACCAGGATCGACTGCGAAAAATGCAGCACAAGGTCCTCTGGTAGGAATTGAACCTACCGCCCTGCGATTCCGGTGTCGCGCTCTAACCAACTGAGCTACAGAGGCCAGCTGTTGAAGTCCACCTTATCACAACCCGCACACCCGATTACCTATATATACATGAACTTGCGGTTACAGCTCAACAGTTGTCCTCTGTAGCTCAGTTGGTTAGAGCGCTGCACCAGAATCGCAGGGCCGTAGGTTCAATTCCTACCAGAGGACCTTGTGCTGCATTTTTCGCAGTCGTTCCTTAAAATGTATATATTCTCACTTGGATTACAAACCCTAACATTCTAATAAACATCGCAAGTCTCCATTATCTGCATTTTACAACATTTCGCAACGAAACTTTGGAATTTACTAATTTTGTGACGCTCTTTCAAGCTATGGTGAAATTTCTGCCTAGACTTGCTTAGATCAAAACTTAGTCTTGATCACTTATTACATATTTCTCTATAGAGAGTTACTCAAAACCCACGCAATATATACTGGCAAGCATGGAGTTCCTTTAGTATCAAATATCGCTACAACTCTGCGCAAGAAGACACAATATTTATACATAGGCCTATTGTGATTGCTAAACATATAAAATATATAGAGAATACATGAGTGCGCGGAAATACCAGATTTATTTTGAGTGTTGAATATGATATCTCACGAGTGAGCGCAGCGAACGAGTGAGATATCATGTTCAACACTCAAAATAAATCTGGTATTTCCAAGCACCCATGTATTTTTCTGTTTATTATATAAACAAAATTCAGTGAAAAGCAATAAAACGTCCATGGCAATGCGTTTTAACTGAAAAGCGATAATTTTCACATGAGAAATTATCATAAATATAATCTCACATGTGAGATTATCAGTGCTGGAAATCTCTATGACCTCTATAACAGTGTAAGACTATATTATATCATGTAGCCAATTCATTTAACTCAAGACACAAGGCCGTGACAAGGTTCTAGAACTGTATGTGTCAGTGTTGGTAGTGTCAACATTAACAAGCTAGCTTTCGTTCGTAGGGATTCACGCAACTACCTGGAAAATATAACTATAAGGCGAATTCCGACATTTCGAGCGAAGGCCCTTCGTCTGGAGTATTATAAAACTTACTGAGTTTAGTTAATAGTCAATACTCCAGACGAAGGGCCTTTGCTCGAAACGTCAAAATTCGCCTTATATTTTTCAGGTTGTTGCATCTCCACCAACGAAAGCTTGTTACAAGGCTCTCTAGAAGCTACTATATATTTGAAAACTTACCCTCTGCCCTCTGCATGGCTTCTGTAATTCACCGTTGCGAATTCGGAATTCATGTTGTTGGCTTCTGACCAGGGGCGTAGGAAGCACCTGGAGTTTGGGGGGGCACCGGCTTGTAGGGGCACATTACTATCGGAAAGGGCACCTAAAAAATTTTTCCCGGAAATGTTGTCGACCGGGGGGGAGAGAAATTTCTCCTGAGGAAAATTTTCCGTCGTATCATACCGAAATTTATGTTTGTGACCTAATTTTTAAAAAAAATTTGTAAATTTCCACACAAAAACGGCACCTATTGTTTTAATTTAGTATTTACAGCGACATTAGCTTCTACAAAAGGGGCACTTTTCCTCACAAAAAAGGGCACTTTTCAACACAAACAGGGCACTTTTTATCACAAAAAAGGGCACTTTTAGTCCTTTAAAAAAATTTGGGGGGGCACGTGCCCCCCGTGCCCCCCCCGCTTCCTACGCCCCTGCTTCTGACATTGAGCTTTGCGAGTTCATGTTCACATGATACGGCAATACCGCCAGACACTCAACTTGGAACAGTTTGTCTCTCTGAATAATCAGGAATCAGCAATAACGAATATAATTTATAAATAAATAGCAATTTATTGTGCGCTATAAACTTATAATATAACACGCTGAAGAATGGCAGATTGTTTTGACTTTGGACTTCAGAGGAAACCCAGGCAATATTATGCTGCCAAGCTTGCAATTGTTGTGTGCCAATCAGAACACTGCGTGTATTGGCAAATCGTCGCTCATTGGCTCCTGTCTGTGCGATAGTGCTAAATTAAATTTTATTTTCGCCGTTGGAAATTTGATATCCTTGAGACCTTGACCTTTGCCTTGACAGACAAACGCGCGTTACGAGCTGACAAAGCTAAAATTTTACTCGAAAATTTATGCCAATATATGAACAGTTTTTATGCGGAGTAAAACGTATTGTTTAGTATAATAGCACACGCTTACAGACTACGTAAACATGTAACTTATTCTGGGTGCAAGGAGTATCGAAGACTATGTTTTGGACTATGAATTTGCAGTCTGAATTCTGAAAGCGACACGCCGGCAGAAAGCGACACGCCGGCTAAAGGCAGAGACTAAAGGTATGTTGTGTGCTTTATAGTTTAGTACGTTTTGCTGTTTATATGCATCGCTCCATATTTGCATTTCGCCGCAAGTTTAGCTTTCGTTTTATTAAATTATAATAGCATCACGATGTGTCAGCTCACAGCTGCATTGTTTGGCTGGCTTTAATATTAATATATTAAACAAATTTTATCAAAGGAAAACCTGACAGAATTCTTTCGTATAAACCCAGTGTATTATTAAATATTTAGCGGTTTTATGCTGGCGCTTTAAAACCGCTCATCAGGGGTCGGTTGTATTTAAAACTCCGATCCAGACCAGATCTCTGAAAAAATATTTCCAAATTTATAGACAAGCCATTTCTGTCAGAAAGTTTGCTGTGAATTTTAGCTTACTGTATGTATAAAAAGCTAAATAAATAAATAAACCTATGGTTAAGCTAACCAAACTTTTAAAAACCGTCTCCAAGGGGCTGGTTGTTTGGGTTATTTATAACCCAGCTTTGAACAACTGGCCCCAGATAGCTAAAATTGAAATGCGACAGACTCAATCACTGTGGACAAATTCATCAGATCAGGTGAAGCCACATATCAATGGTTTAAGCCGGCTAATTATTAATGAGTATATATTATTAAAACTAAAAATCTAATATTTTCCTTACACCATAATTGTGCAATTTTGGTAATTTGAACTATCAAATGAAACATATTTATACGTAATGCCAGTCGTCCCCAAGGGGCCTGTTGTTTGGGTTATTGCTAACCCTGGGTTAATGATAACCCAGCTTTGAACGACTGGCCCCAGATAGCTAAAATTTAAATGCCACAGATTCAATCACTGTGAACAAATTCATCAGACCGGGTGAAACCACATGTCAATGGTTTAATTAAGCCGGCTAATTATTAATGAGTATATATGGTTAAAACTAAAAATCTAATATTTTCCTTACACCATGATTGTGCAATTTTGGTGATTTGAACTATCAAAATATGAAACATATTTATACATAATGCCAGTCGTCCCCAAGGGGGCCTGTTGTTTGGGTTATTGCTAACCCTGGGTTAATGCAAACCCAGCTTTGAACGACTGGCCCCAGATAGCTAAAATTTAAATGCCACAGACTCAATCACTGTGAACAAATTCATCAGACCAGGTGAAACCACATGTCAATGGTTTAAGCCGGCTAATTATTAATGAGTATATACTATTAAAACTAAAAATCTAATATTTTCCTTACACAATTCCTTGTGCAATTTTGGTGATTTGAACTATCAAATGACACATACAGACAGTATTTATACATAATGCCAGTCGTCCCCAAGGGGCCTGTTGTTTGGGTTATTGCTAACCCTGGGTTAATGCTAACCCAGCTTTGAACAACTGGCCCCAGATAGCTAAAATTTATGTGCCACAGATTCAATCACTGTGAACAAATTCGTCAGACCAGGTGAAACCACATATCAATGGTTTAAGCTGGCTAATTATTAATGATTTGGATTCTTGCACTTCACTTGGTGGAATTAGAATTAATATTAGAATGTTAGGGTTTGTAATCCAAGTGAGAACATATACATTTTATGACCTAACCAGGAACGACTACGAAAAATGCAGCACAAGGTCCTCTGGTAGGATTTGAACCTACGGCCCTGTGATTCCGGTGCAGCACTCTAACCAACTGAGCTACAGAGGCCAGCAGTCGTTCCTGGTTAGGTCTTAAAATGTATATGTTCTCACTTGGATTACAAACCCTAACATTCTAATAATTATTAATGAGTATATATGATTAAAACTAAAAATCTGATATTTTCCTTACACCATGATTGTGCAATTTTGGTGATTTGAACTATCAAATGAAACATATTAAAATTTAAATGCCACAGTCTCAATCACTGTGGACAAATTCATCAGACCAGGTGAACCCACATCAATGGTTTAAGCCGGCTAATTATTAATGAGTATATATAATTAAAACTAAATGTCTAATATTTTCCTTACACCATGATTGTGCAATTTTTGTGATTTGAACTATCAAATGAAACATATTTATACCTGTACACGATTCCAGTCGTTCCAATGTTAAGGTGAATGAGAACTGCAGGGGTGGGTGCCAAATTCTTAGTTTGCTCATGCCTTGCCTAACTTAGAAACTATGTACATATTGTTTATCATGTTTATCTGATATCAAAGTCAAAGGCTATTTGCCAGACATTGACTGACACAAGTTTTCCTTGTTCATTCAATGTCCAATCTGCCTACTGTGCTAGATTACATATTGAATCACATTTGAAGACAGATTTCCAAAATTGAATACATTTAACTGTCTCTTAAAATTTGATGTGCGCTACTCTACAATTATGTAGTTGAAGGGTCTTGTAGTCTAATGATGTAAATTACTGAGTAGAAATTTTATACATTTATTAGACTTAACCAGGATCAAAAAATGGCGGTACAACGCTCTAACCAACTGAGCTACAGACACCAGTTGTCAAGCTCTAACCACAAGTTCATGTATATATATATATACAGTATATACCCTTCAAGACCCTTTAACCACTATTTTACTTTTTTGTAAGTGGTACATGAATATTCAAATGGCCATAATTCCACTAAAATAATTTCTTTTTTGCAGAGCAATGTCTACTCACAAGCTAAACCTTCCCTTTTCTGTTCCCGAGGAAATGATCAGCAAGGAAAAAGACAGTGGTATTACGTATGACTTACATTAAGACAAGAGCCAGTAAAGGTGTATAAGAACTCTTACATGTTTGAAGGCAGACAAGTCACAACATGTGATCAAAATGCATGTAGTACTCTTGGGGAGTGGCTTGTCTGTTGAAGGGCATAATATACATGTATTATACTGATAAAATCTGCGGTAAAGGTGAGGTTGGTTTCACAGAAAGTCAGAGACTAAAATAATAAATCACCTGAACTCAGTAACTACAGTAACAAACAAAATGTAATAAATTGGTACCTTAATTAATAAATGGCAGCATTTTTCTGACATAAATAATATATATGAAGTCATATTGAATTAAACAATGTATATTGGGAAGACATAAACTGACTCCAATATTTCATCTATGGGCGCTTTCCATTCAATGGCCTGACCGGTCAGACCTGAATACTTTTCTCAGTATCAAAGGAAAGATCTGGTCTATGTTTCTCAAATGTCTAGCGAAAATGGACCTCATTCTAATGTTATCAAAATTTTCCGGTTAGATAGGTCCGAAACCCAAATGTTTTGTGTTTCATTCAACAATTTGACCGTTCTGACCGGTTTGGCCATGTTAATGGAAAGCGCCATATATATCTTTTTTATCCAAACTTGTTTGGCATTGTTCAGTCAACAACGAAGAGAAATAAGATTGCAGGGCAATTTTTCAATTTGTCCCTGCAGATGCAGTGCCAAAATTTCAATTTGTCGCTGCAAATGCAGTGCCAAAATTTCAACTTGGCGCTGGAAATGCAGTGCCAAATTTTCAATTTGTCGCTGCAAATGCAGTGCCAAAATTTCTTAATTTGTCACTGCAATTGCAGTGCCAAATTTTCGACTTTGCGCTGCAAATGCAGTGACAAATTTTCAATGCCAAATTTTCAACTTGGCGCTGCAAATGCAGTGCCAAATTTTCAAATTGCCAATTTGTCACTGCAAATGCAGTGCCAACTTGCAGTGAGAAATATAAATGCTTCGTAGTTGCGATATCGGGCAAAATATCTCCGTTTTGTCATCGTTTTTATTCGGGTTGCAAAATATAGTATTATATTAAAGATTTTTCAACAAGATAATTTCCCAGTCCTGCTAAATATGCATGATTTTACAATAAACGGCATTGCTATTCTCATTTGCTTCAAGATCATTCAATTTCATTAAAATTTCCTAATTTCTTGCAATGCTGCAGTTCTTGATTTTGTTGGGTTTTGTTGCAAATATTAATAAAATGTAGGGAATCCTGCATGAATGAATAGACAGATTGCAAGAATCTCATTATATTCCAATTATTAGCAGCATATTAGTCAAATTTCGTGCAAAAACAGCAGATTTGCTTAGGTTTTGTCCGGAATTCAGTTAAATAGAATATTTCACTTTGCTCTAGAACGTGTTATTAAGACATTACCTTAAGTTTCCATTCTATATTTTTCTCATAACATGATATGTTTCAGATAATAATTAACTGCTTTATATTTTTATAGACAAAGAAGAGTTAATTCTCTTAAGTGAGAGGTATCGTGCCTTTGAGGAATCGGATGTATTGGTCGAGTACTGCATATGGTCATGAAATTACAACTAATGTGCGTACTGCTATCATCATGGTTTGAAAATTGGAGGTTTTTTACCAACTTCTGCTGATCAGCAGGGATCAAAGGAAAAGAAAACAATTATTTAAATAAACACCAGTAATGAAAATAAAACATTCATGATGACATATACTAGATTTGTAGAAGTAGTTGTCCTGGGGTGATGATAGTAATTCAGTCACTTTTGGGGAACATTTTTAAAAATGTACATGTTTCAATTTATATCTCATATTTTTCTCAGAACCAATCCATCACTACATTAAACATACAGTATTTTCAGTGGTCAAGTAATGAACAATGATTTGATGTTTGGAAAGAGAGGTCACAAAATATGTTAATGAAATTTTAATAACTTTTATATATTTACAGTACATAGTAATTTAGTATTATTTTATAATAACAAGTATTTATAATCATTGAAAATTGTATAATATTAATTTGAATAATAACATTTATTTATTGAAGAATAACATTTATTTAAATTGGAACGATAAACAGTATGGTAATATTGCACTATAATCAATTAAAACTGCATCAAACAATGCCAATTGTTTCATTTATGCATCAATTAATCAAGGCCATACGCAGGATTTTTTCACCAGGGGGCAGTAAGGCCTATATGCCGAGAAAATTCCCAAATTTCCAGAATAATTAATAATGACATTCTAAAAATCATAAATATAGTTTTTCCCCCCACCCACTGTGTATGGTCCTTCTTGATGTAGGGCGTTCGCTCGAAACGTCGAGTTTCTGCTTATTTTTTAAGGTAGTAATATAACCATTCAGCACAGCATTTTCAAGTTTTAGACAGCGTACTTTTCATATGTGCCAAAATAAATTTGAAACATGGCATGTGGCAAGTTTGACCAAGTTAGTTGTACATACTAATATTAATATTGCATTTAGTTCAACATCATTTAGACATGATTTCCAAGTTTTGAACTAAATAATAATTATTTTTTCTATTTTTAAATGCAAAATGTTTCCAATATTTGCAAGACGAAATTTAATAATTCAAACCACTTAATTACAGTACTTCACCCTATAATTCTAGTCAAACCAAATGTTTTAAAGTTTAGGCACAAGCATATGCTGTCTAAAACTGGGATTTAAAGTGTAAATCTTGAACCTCACCCTGAAATATAATGGAAATTAAAGGGGACTGTGTATACTGTACAAGTAGTAATGTCTACCAAAAGAAGAGTTGCATCATAATTGTACTTGACTAAGTGGTGAGTCTAGCCTCCTCCGCAGGCATCTCGTAGTTCACGTACTTTAGAAAGTCGGTGAAATGCCTGCCAAAACCCGACATGGTTGAGCCGTTCTGCGCATCTTGCTTGCGCAGCGATTTCGTCTCTAGGGTATGCACGTGGGGGAGGATTTGTCATCCAAGATGGCGGATTGCATGGAGTGAAGAATTACGAAAATTAGTGAATTTATATTAATACGCTCGCTAAAGGCGGCTAAACGATTAAGAATACAGCTTTTGTGGACAATTGAAAGAATCTTAACCCGGAAATTAAAATTGTCATCAAATAATTTACATGTTGTCAGTTGACATATATTTTTGTATATCTGTAAATGGAAAACATCAAGTGATCAAGGTTGACGTATATTTTTGTATAAGCTGTAGATAGAAATAGAAATCTTGTTGTAATCTTTTAAGCACTATAAAGATAGACTTTGTGTTAACATCACAATGAAATGCATTTAATTTCATATAATATTTTTTTGGATCAATTATAGTTGTTTTGTGTTTTAAATAATTGTTAATGTCTGGCTGGCATAATTATTTAAAATAGTACAATTATCATGTACAGTTAGTTCAATCTGTCTGTTCATGGTTGTCAGAAGCAGGACAAAATTACCCTATATATGATGTGTAGAAATGTAAAAAGATAAAATATATTTCAGCTTGATAATTGTGGACCCATTATTAATTGAAACCAAGGCAAGAGCCAGATTGATTTGAGTGAAAAAGCCTTGGTCTGGTGTTTGGTTGTCAGATTGGCCGAGTATGCCAATCAGTGAAGCAACGCCACTGTCTGAAGTCTAAAATTAGCTGGGTTCACATGCTATATTCACTATCAGGGATGTCGCTACAGGGGTGTAACGTTGGTCAAAGTTGGTCAAAATGGAACTGGTATTTGCTCAAAGTTTGTCAAAATGGAACTGATATTTGCTTAAAATTTAAGGTCAAAGTTGGTAAATTGTGGTTAAATATTGGCAAGCCTTGCTTATTTTGGTCGAAAAATTTATAAATATGCTTATATTAGTCTGGAAAATTTTTTACCCCCCTGTCGACAACATTTCCGGGTTTACGACTTGTTCAAAATTTTATTAAAATATTGATCAAAACATGACAACACCCCTCCCCCAATGTTGATGCCTTAGCGACGCCCCTGCTTACTATACTATGTCTTGTTTCATGTGTGCACTAGTGTCCAGTACCTGCATGGTGTGAATTGCATTGTACAATCCAGCAGTTAAACAATAACATGGTAGATGATTATAATAATAATTTTTAATTTTTTTTTTAATCCAAATGAAGATGTTGAATTGTCAGGATTTCTATGCAAGAAACTAGGTGCTATTTTGCATGTCTGAGATGGAGACTACAGTAAGTTGCTGCATCCTAGAAAGTGTGAACAGCATGGTTTACATTGTACAATTAGCAGCTTCAAGGCTACAACACATGGACAAGCAACCATTGTCAATGACAACATTGATCAAGCATGTCATAACCTGCCAGATAAAATAATGACATAATTGAACATGGCCAGCATTTTGTTCTGCTGACACCTTCTTTACAATTAAATATAACATGTTTTTAATGGATGAAAATGGGATAAAAAAATAAAAGTAGTGTAAACTGTTGTCTATGGTCACAATTTCCCTGTGACTTATTTTTAAATCACATTACCTTTTATCAGAAATTGCATTGCAAGTTGCAGATTTACTAGAGCAGGGTGCACCCTCCAAGCCCTGACGGGAGAGGGTGAAGGGGGTGCTTTTTTCATGATAAAGCAAAAAATAATAGAGACAAAATGAGATGCAGTAATTTGAGCAATAACATGATGATAAGCAAACTGTGAACAACAATTCAAATTCAAACGTAGTATGTTGATGGGCGAGTGGCACACATGACCGACACAACTCTGCACCAGAGCTTCAGTGGCGCCGCCAGCTCGATAATTGGGGGGGGGCAAATATTCATATCTTCGTGTTCTGCATTATTAACTTCTTTTGAAATTGATTGTTTTTATGCTCTGTGAACACAAATATATGAATATTCGCCCCCCCCCCCCAATTATCGAACTGGCGGCACCACTCGGCGCAGAGCTTGCAGAGCAGCCCCCTACCAGATCATGCTGGATCGATCCCTGTATTATTTTATTTACACATGGAGGTGTATCTCTTTTGGTGGCGTAAAGGCATGTTTCTTGACACAAGTGACAATCCAAATTTTTAGATGGCTGTTTAAAATTTTAGTCATGCAGCTGGATGGCAGGCTGGTTAATACCATGCAGTAATGCAGTAGAATAATCTTGAGCATAACATCTAACATAATACAGCAACAATATAAAATGTATAACTTTGCTTGATTTATAGTTACTGAATATATAAACACTTCTTACATTTGGTCAACTTGCACAATAGTTGCTTGAAATTTGTGTTACAAGCACAGTCAGCACTAAGCAGTTTACTCAGCGTTTACATAGTTGTTTACATGCTGTACATGTACTCAACAAATCCCCGAGATATTTCTCGCTATAGTAACATACAGCGTAAACATACAGCGTAAAAACACATGGGATTGTAAATTTGAAGTTTGTTCTTTGCTGAAATATCTCAAAATTTGTGTTGACAAACCAGTTTCAATGTCATGCACGTCCACTATACGTGTAACAGTAATCGACAATTCCAAGAGGCAAGAGCATCCATTATCCAGTTGAAATTTTGACATTTACCACTCCATCTGCATTCTAGAGTATTCTATTTCCCAAAAGTATTAATATTTGATGTTATATGCATGTAGGATACAGACCAAATATAAATTGAATGGTTGCAAAAATTCTTATAAATTCCATTCACATTTCATACTTCGTCTTTCGATACGATTTACATAGTTTCGGCGTGGTTTGACCATCTGTATTTCGTTAAATCCCGGCCATCCGTTGTAAGTGCAAAATAATCAATGTTTCATTCATATTTGTTTCAATTTGCAACATAAAAATGATATTCTCTATCGATATTTTTTCGAATTGTGTCTGAATATAAAAAGATCGTATCCTATGGCAGTAGGGGTAACACAGCTTTTGACATTTTGTAGTAGTTTTGATATGAACAATTAATCCCATGGGGGTGGGGGTAACATAGCCGGTCCACAAGGGTTACATAGCTGGTCCAAAGTCTTCGGGTTTTGGCAGGCATCGCCACTATTAATTTTTTTGCCTGCAAGAAATTTTGCCCGATAATCGAAAGGCGATGCCTGCGGAGGAGGCCATGGTGAGTCAATGGCTTGTTAACCATATATTGAATTGCAAAGTTCTGTATTTCCTTTTAAAAGCTTAATTAAACCAAGATTTGCCCTTTCATAGGTATTTTATTCTTCAATTGAATAAGTGCAATATTGCATGACTGTGTTAAACAACAAGAAGCAATTTACCCATTGAAAACTAACCGTATGTACATATGAATTTTAATTAACCTCGTTACTTTTTGAAGTGTAAAACAATGTGTCTATAAGATGAGTTTGACTTATTCTTAAAAATTAAGTAGCAAACGGATTCATATCCGATTGGTATTTGTACACATGAAAAGTATAGGAAATGGAAACCAGGTTAAAGTAATACCATGTAGGCTACATATGGGTTACTTTTCTTTGGGTAAATTGCCTGTTGTCAGGGTAAAACTGCAATTGTTGAAGTTTGTTAAGACTGCATTCCATGCCACGCCCACTCTTTTTTTGACGACAATGTCTTGCAATGTGGCCTGGCTTGCCACATTGATAACACCTTCTTCCTACAAGACAGAATTATAAATTATATTAATCTGAATTTAATTACTAGTTATAGTCGTATTACAATACGAAAAACATAACATTTTCTACACTTACTTGCTTTATCACGATTGTGAGCTGTAAATGCAGAGAAAGAAATGAACTATTTTAACTCCAATTTTTAACAAGCAGTGGTGAATAGAAACTATCAACTCTAGCCACCCTACCGACTATCAACTAGCAACCCTAGACCTAGTTATAGCCTATAGGTAGTATAAGTTTCTGTTAAATTTTTTGAAAAGATAAAGGGGAAACACATACGTTTTGTGCAACTTGTGAATTTGTGGCCTTTCCGGCCACAATTATGGCATTTTCCTAAATAAAGAAGTACATGACATTGAATACAATAGGCTTATATGTTTATTTTAACAGCTATAAATAACAAATAATTGACTGCAATATAGAGTATTAATAGACATGCGATATTTTTAAAATAAATTTTAAAATAACATTCTCTCGATCCTCCTGATCCTCTCTCGACAGACCTATTAAAAGTATGTACAGTTTACTAAATGTTTATCTAAAACTTCATTAAACACATAGCATATTACCACCCAAAGGGTAGGGAAACTAGTATTTTTCTCATCTTTATTATATTGTTTAAAATAGTATTATTATCTGTATATACCGTTTATATGCCTTTGGCTGTGGTTTGAATCAGCTGTTTCAACATTTGACACATCTACAAAACATAAAAACTTAACTTGAACTATTCGACTCAATAACAAACTTAACAAACTTAGAATTCTTACTAAAAAAACTTACTTTCCATTTTGGGCGGAGTTTGACATTGTGCTGCAAAGACAAAAAAAATCAAATAAAAAACCTTACATGACCAAAACAAAAAGACTATTATAGTCCAATGTTAAACAATGGCAATGCACTTTTTACCGCATTTAAAATAAAATTCAAGTCGCAGTTGCAGAAGGTAAATTGCATGACTCAAAAAATGAAAATTCTTAGTTTATATTTTAACCAGAATACAATTTTTTGTATTGAAAAAAAGTACGAACATATTAATACCATTTGTATTCGGCAGCTCTTCCTCTGCACCATGCATTTTCCTGGTTTTGACTCATCTGTTAATATGTAAATCATATATACTTTATATATATTCTATATACTTTTTACTATAACGAGTTATTTTAGTTAGATACGAGTACTGTATTAAAATGAAAAGTTTAATATACCTTTATACAATTTTAAATATCCTCTCAAATGCGACTTGGTTTTAAAAACTTAAAAAGGGCGCGAAATGGAGGGGGCAATCTGATTGGTGGATAGAATGGAAACAATATTAACATTAACATGGAGTATAATTGTATAAACACTATAAAATTGAATGCAAAGAGTGGTGAACGTCTTGAAAGAGAATCAAATAAATCTGAATACTTCATAAATCATACCATTATACATGTCAAGTAATAGATATTTTATTTACCTATAAGATCAGAATTTAGAATCCTAAAATTGCCCTCTGGCACTTGGTATGTACTATATATACTGTATATAAATACATAAATTATACGTTTTGATTTGTGGAAACACAAATTATTATTAAATATTGCAAAGCTTTCGATCAGCGCTAATATTAACCCTTTAAGTGGCAATGCACCTACTTTAGTATTTTACTCTGTCTAATGCCAGACGATTTCACTCGTCAAGTGGAGAGTGATGCCACTCAATGGGTTCACAGTTATTTTAATAGATGGTTTGGAGGCTCGATGAAAGTACAATATAACTTATTAACTATGTTATTGTACAGCTTTTTGCAAGAATTTTGTCCTATCTCGTCACGTGTGTATTGTAATTTGGCTCAAATAACCAATAACAAGTTTGTGGTTGAGTTATCCATCCGTATCTTGAACAAATGCTCAATTTAAACATTGCTATTGGTTGTGCGGGAAAAAATACAATACACACGTGACGAGATAGGCCCAAATTCTTGCATAAACCGAAACCAACATGGTTAATGAGTTATTCTAACCATGCAAGGGTTAGCGCTTATCCAGATTTGAACAATCGGTCCCTGAGTGTTTGTGGGACATTAATTAAATTTTCATTTTCAGCCCTTATAACTTGTGACCTGCATTTTAGAGGTATATGGCAATGAATTCCTAGGAATTCCAGGGAAGGGGGTATATAAACTGAATTCCTGCTCGAAAAGTCAAAATTCTCCTTAATATTTTTTTCAGGTATATATAATATAATGAAATGAAAACTTTTAACTGGGCAAATAGTCTGATTGACCAATTGAGTGCCAGCTCTCTCTGTCTCTCTGACAAGTAAATCCACCTGGCATTTAATAGACAGAGTATAAAATATTACTTCACCTGGCATTTAGACAGAGTAAAATAATAAGGGTTAAAATATATAACAGCATTAAGTTAATATTCCAACTGCACAACATGTTTAATGCCAATTGACTGGAGTAAGTATTGTTGACCATAAGTCCTCTATAAACCATCATGCTAGAAAATATTTATTTCATGACTACCCAATTAAGATATTAATTGGGTAGTATTATTATATTAGTTTCATGACTAATTATATTATATTAATTTTATGACTACCCTTGATGAGTAAAATTGCATGTATGTAATATGAGGTAGATTAAGCATCCAAGCATATCAAATTAACCCTAGGAGTTCTCTTTTCCAAAGGTTTGAAATTAGCAGTCATGCAGATATACACAAAGCAGAACAGCGAGTTAAATGTTAACTGAGGGTTAATGCTGCTAACCCATCTTATTTCAAACAACCATTGTAGGGGGCTAATCATGCACCAAGAACAAATTTTAAATATTCAAGGAAAATTCTATGGTCAACTGCATTGTTACTATACTAGGGACCATATAGAATAGGGAATTTTGATAATTTAAATATTAAGTACATTTCTTGCTATGTGAGGGGTGGGGGTGAGTAGAGGACTTATGGTATACAAGGTAGTAACATTAAATTATATTTTATTTACTAATTATATTTTAGCAACACTAAATGTTTTATATAAATTTACTAATCCAATGCAAGTAATGAGCATTAATTCATAGCCAAAGCAAGTATACACTTTCTTTCATTGACATTTGGGCTAATTGAACACAAATCGTAGCAATTCACATCAAGCATTTGAATTTTCAATATGTGTGTCACCAGGTGATATGACAGCATAATTTCTTCAGTGTGATCCATTATATGAAATTTAGCACGTCCTCAAGACATGTTGATGGCAATTCTGTTATCCATAATATAAGAAGTTAATTATGCATTTTGATGATGATTAATCCAATATTCAATATATGCATAGACCATATGGTATGGTAGCAAATTATGTGATGATGAATATGTATACCATATATTTTCTCTTGAAATTTCTTTTGAAATCCATTCTGTGAAAAGTTGATGATATAGGATGGTATGGAAACTTCTCAGTTGTCCATAACTGAATATATAGCCATTATTCAATACGCGTTGGATATGGTAATTGATGTGATAGCATAATTTGATGAGCAGGATATATACCATATATTTTCTCTTGAAATTTCCTTTATAATCAAAAACTGATAAAAATGTTGATGACAATAGTCCATAAGAGCATATATAAATATATTTTCTCTTGTCGTCTTGAACTTTCAATTTTGTCATCCGGCCGGACATGATGAGGAATATGTATTTCAGCCCTCTTTATCTTTGTTTAGAAATCATCACATCTATATATAATTATATATATATAAAGCAATATTAATTTACCTATACCATATTATCTATTGAGCATTGGGATCGAGGGGTTTAATTACATAAAAATAATAAATCCAACTTCGCCTTTCTCAATGTCTTGAACACAAGGTGGGAAAGGCAAAATTGGAGTTATCATTTTTAATGATACATGTTAGCCCATTAGTGCATTATAGACACTGTCTATTCATTCAGGCTAACGCCACCAATTAAGTGTCCAATCATTCAAGTGTCCATAGGTAAGTGCCATATGATCACCTAAATATACGTAACTAAGATTGTGAATCTGATAAACACTTACTTGGCGTTATAGAGTACCAGTAAATTTATGTTAATCTTTATCGTTCAGAAATCTCAATTGGATAATAATATTCCCTTATGTTGCTTGTTCTTCCTGCTTGCGTTAAATAAATGTAGCACGTGTTCAATGACAGACCATTGAGGTGTCAATTAAGAAAGATAAATGCCTGCCTGGATTGTTTAAAATGTTAGTTTGTAAGTGGTATTCTAACTTAATGTTACAATGAACAGTACATAAATATGTCACATAAATGCATGTCGTTTTTCAATTTAAAATATTATAACTAAATATATAAGTTCTTTGTATGTTTGCATGGTGATAAAATATATAATAGTTTTGTTTAAATAAATTTACGTGGTATTTCCACAAACAAAACAATATATTATATAGCTAAATATATATAATAATAATAAAGCACAATCAAAATATACAGCAACCCAGTTACTGATGTATATGGTTGGACCTAGAAATAAACAAAAATATTTACGGTAAATATGGTAATAATTCATAGACATAGTAAAATGCTAATACAGATAATACGTATGTATATTACGTACCTCGATCTTCAATTATATTTAATTGTACTAAAAAATTCAAAGTAAGACATTTTCTTCTTATTTTATATACCGCACACACATCTAAAATGTTCAGGTATCATTAACACTTTACAAACACCATTCATTTCCTTACTCGTTTGTCAACCCTCGAACACATCTAAATTGTGCAGGTACCATTGACAATGCATTATCAACAATTCAAGCTTCTTCGAAACACAATAAAATTGTGCCAGGCGCCCTTCCTCTCAAAAATACAATGTCTATAACTGGGATATTTAAAATGAAGTTATAGTTAAATAGTCTTCAAATGTCATTAATAATTCATGAGGAAAACACAAAGAAAAATCATAAGCGTGTCGTATTTTATATGTGATAGAGATTTTCCTTGATTTACATAAACTTTAACTTTGATTCTCTCAACTTGCACAACGTATTTTTTGAAAATTACTTCGCCAATGAACTTACTAGATCGATCGTTTTTGAAGCAATTTAAAACATTTGCAGTGCGTGTTTTATCAGACCTAAAGATACTCGGCTTCGCCTCGTATCTTTATACCTGATAAAACGCAGCTTCTCATGTTTTAAATAGTCATAACGTAATCGTCTGAACAAGTTAAGCAATTCAAGATTGCTTTCGAAATAGAAATTTATAGTTCTCAGAGACATGCAGAACATCGCTACGAGTCATCAGCTTGAACCAATCATTGACATTGTACTATAGGTACGGGCAATTTTCTCGAAAGCACAGTTGTGCCCAGGGTGAAAACTACTCGTGTTTGAATAGCACAAACTTCGAAAACTGTTTACGTACTATCTTCTCGCGCATTCCTGCATTTCTCGTCTTGCTCAAATGGTGCATTCGGATCGTCACGTAACTCTGGCTGCAGCATTTAATCAATTTGAAAACATGGTTGTTTCCTGGAGTCGAATCAAACATGTGTTGGTCTAACGCACTAAAGACCTTGCATTCAACACAGACTGATAACACCGTCGTAGCAATCGCACTTCAAAGTCCAGCGCTATGTGGTAAACCATCTCCATTTACATTTAGCATTCTCATTACACACTTCTCTGTTTCCTCGCATATTTTGATGAGGCCGAGTGATGGCAGTTTCAGGCCTCCATTCGTTTTCCATGTTACGAATAAATCTAGAATGTTTTCTTTGCTCGTTATCAACGCTGCTCGACATTGCGGACAGTGGATATTTTTCTCCACCATCTTCACCACATACCCAGCGATATACGACATGTCCGCCTCTTTGTACTCAGATAGTTCCATGGCGTTCGAAACATCGCAGTAGTCGTGATCATCTGCAGCTGGCTGTCTCACCTCCAAGTCATATCTCCTTGCAATTGCCACATCAGAAATTCCAGTAGGTACGGAGTTGATTTCACGTTGATCCTGGACACTGTTCAATATCTCCGTATCATCTTGAGGAGTGCAGTTTCCACGTCCTCCCTCGATGTTGTGCCTCATCAGCAGTTGCTTGTATGCTGCTACGAATTGGCGAGTTGTTGGATTATTATTCCACCCTCCACAAGCTCGCACGGCTGAAAAGAATAACTCCAATGATCTTGGCTCATCTTGTACGTCAGAAGATACTTCAGGACAGGATTCGCCGCATTAACGAGATCTTCTGCTAATCCCACAACAGCATTGATACACAAAAAGAAACCAAGAAATCCTGTTTTCCTTTTTGACGTAAGGATCGACTGGCCATCTGGACCTTTCAGATTTCGAATGTACTCACTTGCCTCATCTAGAAACCTCTTCGTGTACTGATAGTTTGATCTTCTAATTGGCGCCTTGAAATTTCTCGCCAACGAATTCCTGGAATTCAGAACATCAAAAAGATGATCAAAAACACGAATACATTGTACTGTTGGACCACAGCCTTGAAATTGTGGCAATTTCAGCTGACCTTCACAATACTCCAAGGCATCTGCAACACTCGAACTGAGTGCCTGTGCTGCTAGATTTACCTTCATTTTTTGCGGCTTCCATTTGATGTGAGCGGATCGGAGCTTATTGGCAAGATGTAAGCCCTCTGACACTTGTATACGTAATTTATATAACTCCTCCACGAATTGCCACTTGATGGCGTTGCCGTCCTTATCCTTCAGGACCTTCCAGTCCGACATGGTGTTTCTTACCAACTTTATCATGTGACAAGCATCTAGGAAAATATAGATCTTGGCTGTCGGGTCACATGGATGTTGGAAGAACGCTTGCAAGCTATCAGGTAACAGTTGAGCGCCGAGCAATTTCAACATCGCCTGGTGAGACATGGGGCCATCGCACGTAAAAGATACCACCTTCACCCCCACTTCGTGCAACTTGGTTATGCATTCTTTGGTCAAGTTGGCTTTCTCCTCTCCAGTAAGACCGTTCACTAGAAAATATCCGAATGGTACTTTCCAACCAGAGTTCACAGAGACTGCCATAAAAACAAGAGCATCTGTTGCTTCGGGCAGCGAGTCATCATTGATGCCTGTGTCAAGATCAACATAACCGCAAAAGTGCTTGCCATCCCATTTGACATGCTTGCGTATGGCCATTTCATCGAGCATTAGTGCACAAACAACTTCTTGGTTATCCCTTTTTGCAGCTAAAACTTTGGCTTTCAATGCTGTCAGTGCATTCTTTGTAAAACGTGGCTCGCCATTCATGGAACTATACCATGACCGAATCACGTTTACATGTGGCAGCCCTAAATCAAAACTTTTTCGCACATAATTATACGCTTTAGTTGAATAAAATTTCAAGGACAGGGCAAATGACCTTAGCTCGGGTGGATACGCCCCAAGATTTTTCTTCTTCTTTTGTGTCAACAACCTCTTCATAAGTTCCTTTGGAACTCCAGAAAAAGTTGATTCTAGAATAGTCGCACAATCACTATTGATTAGATTTTTTTCTCTTAATTCACTTACCACTGCAGTCAACGTGCTAACCTTCTTATCTCTTCTATTGGTTTTCTTCTGAGATGTCTTTAATCGCTTCTGTAAATTTTCAACTTTATTAGATCGTCAACTTGACTTCTCACTCTACGAGGAGGCTTTACACAATATGGGTGATCATGTACATTCATTTCAAAAGAACTGGTCGTTCGCGCCCTTTTTTGAAACGCGCTTACCTCAATCTCCGATTCATTCGAATATTTTCTCTTGCCTCCTGGTACACTTAATACGTTGTTGTCGATACTTACTTTTTCAATCACCTCCTGCATAATCACACTATCTGTGGCAATGATCTCTTTATTAACCACCTGTAAACTTAATGCTTCATCACTTACATTATCTTCATTTATTACTACTGTTTGCACTAAACTATTTTTTTTGTCTGACATACCATTAAATTTTTCTACTTCTACAAAATCCTGATGTGAGACTTCCTTAGTACTGGCCACTCCATTCTTTGTTACCTGTGGGATCGAGTTAGAGAATATAATCAACACATATTTATTTATGTATGAATAATGGAAAACTCTTAGCTGCGATGCACCCAACTTTATTATTTTACACATGTCTATAATGCCAGGTGGTATTACTTAAGGGAAGAGTCCTGCACATTAATGGGTTAACCAAGGGGCATGTGTATGGTATCTGTCATTGTGCCTATAATGTTAGTCAACGCTGTCTATGTAAAATTGTTGTAACAGCTTTACTACTCAAGAATTTTTAATCGACATTATTGGGGGTGGGGGAGGGTGATATTGCTTTCTCCTCTCCCCTCCCTAGTGACGGCCATGCATGAAGCACAATATACTGCTCTTACTTAATTGTCATGCATAAAGCAGTTATAGAAAATATGAAAATTGCTTTTATTACCATGCAAACAAAAATGACCAAAACGTTTTGGCTGACTATAATTGACAGACAAATGTTATCAGGATAAAACAACAGGATTGTAGGTAATGGCCAGTGGCATACACTGATTTTGCAGAATTTTTAAGTTACCATTCAATAACTTTTGACACCTTTTGTGGCAAGTTAATTTCAATATTTTTTAGCTAGGCTTGTAAAATTTGTAGCCGGCGATTTGCTTCCATGTTGAATAATTTTTGTTGCAGCTTAGTTACAAATTAAGAATTAATTAGTTATTAATTAATTTATCATTATTATTTTATGATTTTAACAAGGTGAAAGTACAAGTACATTTGACCACTAACAGCTAGACTAACAATAAACGGACTAACTATTAACATGTCATTGATTCATTTCAATGATAATTCGGGAACCCTGTTAAAGGGATCCCATTCGGAATACCTATAAATGCCACATAGATTGCTAGTGATCTACCATCTCATATCATTTTATTAAAAAAATTTTCAAGTTGCCATTCAATAACTTTTGACACCTTTTGTGGCCAGTTAATTTCAATATATTTTTAGCTATAGCTTGTAAAATTTATAGCCGGCTATTCGCTTTCATGTTGAATAATTTTTGTTGCAGCTTACAGTTACAAATTAAGTTCAGTTATCATTCACATGCAATAAATTCAGCTATATATATCATTCAAATGCTGTCACAAATTATTGGTTTAGGTGGGGTCCCCCAGCCACCTGTTGTCCATATTGCACCATATATTGCACCATATTGTACTTTATTATTTTACTCTATCTAACACCAGAGGATTATACTCACCAAGTTAAAGGCATAGCTCTGGTGCTCAATGGGTTATTAAAACTCAGTCTGACAGTTTAGACACTAATAGGTCACTTGGTTAGTCTGGTTGACTGTACTGTCCCTAGAATGCACTTTAAACTCCATTTTTTTATGTTTAATTAATACTGACACTATAGACAACAGACAATAATATAGCTATTCCTTTTAACATCCACAAACACAAACCCCCTATCAGTCAGATAGCTGGAATTCTTCAGGGGTGCAGTAAATGCCAAATGCCTGGAATTTTTCAAGTCAAATGGGGAATTGAACTGGAATTTCTCAGAGGTAAAGTATTTTATGCAGCCTTTTTGTTGCATTTCCTCAGGGGTGTATTTTGTGTCTAATTTGACAAGGGTGTGCAGATATTAAATAGGAACTATAACCCAATTAAATAAGTGCAACCAAAAAAATGTTAAACTTTTAAAGATTAAATAAGCAAAATATTAGAGAAAACCGACAAAGGTACAAACCTGAGGAGTGGGAAATATTGTTGGGACAGCAAATCGCTTCAGTATTACTCTTTGTCCACCCTCTTCCTTCATGTCAGAGCTAAAATGCTCTGAACAAATACGACTTACTCTTGTCGGAATAAATTTCACCAGTACATTTTTATTGACATTTTCAAGTCATTTGGTGCACATCTCAGGACTTGTTTTTGGATCTGGGAAGCTGTAAAATTATTAAAAAGCATTCAATATTAAATTGCTCATACAAGCTCAAACAATTGCTCAAAAATGTCTCATTGAAAGAAAATTCATGTGAAAATAATGACATTTAATAATCACATTTGTTGCGAACAGTGACGTAATGTATATTTATTTATGTAATATATTCAGATTAGCCATTCTTAATTATGCTAAGACGCGGGAAATAATACATGTGTTATAAGGTTTGTAATAGCGACTTGAAACTATATCGGACACGCTAGATATATCGGACGAATTATTTGTTGTTTAAAGAGGATTGTTCAAAGACTCGTCAAGAAGTAAGTTACTGAGAAAGAACACGTATGTACCATTTATACTTTACTTACATTAGTTTTATATCTTTATACTTTTAGATCGAAAAAAAATTATTGACATATTTAATACGTTCAATTGACTATACGATTCGCGGGTCTTTGTCGGTAATATATTGAGTTCTGTCGAACCCAACGGACCATAAATTCGATTTCTGTGTTTATATCTGGAGTCCCAAAGGTTCACAGCAAAGGCTGATAAAGTTTCACAGAAAAATGGATGAGAAAAGGGCCAGAAGAAACGCGAAAAGTTCGCTTACACGTCGCAGTAATAATTTATACAGCATGATTGAAAACAACCGGCCTGTTGAAGAGATAACAGAAGCGCTAGAATTAGTAGAAATAGACTATAAAACTGTCGTAGAAAAGCATGAGGCTTTAGTAGAAAAGGTCGATGACGAAGAATTTGATAAGGAAGAAAAATGGATCGAAGATTGCCGCGAGAAAACATTAATTTTGAAATTCAGAGCGAAAGATTATATTTTGAAATCAAAACAGGAACAGGTCACCCAAGACACGTGCGCAGAAAATGATATAGCTAAGAAAACACAGGAAACCCAAGAAAATAACGGAGAAAATACCAGCACAGCTATTATAGAGAATCAAATACCAGAACAAAACACAGATAGCAATTCTCAAGATGTTGAACTTACCGAAGAAACAGAACAAACAGTTCAGGAATTGACACCCCAACCGGCAGTACAGCAAATGGATAATAATGCAGAGAGTCCAACCAGTAACAAGGAAGTTAAATCGTGTGCGTTCAAAGTTGAAAAGCCGAAATTACCGAAGTTCAGTGGAGATGTAAGAGACTACGTAATATTTCGGGGTGATTTCAAGCATGTTGTTGAATCACAGTACAGCGACAGAGATGCAATAACAATACTACGGGCAAGTCTTCAAGGAAAACCACTAGAACTGATTAAGGGCATAGGATGTGATTACAAAGCAGCATGGGAGTATCTCGACTCAATTTATGGAGATCCACGATTCATAGCAGACACAATTACGCAAGACATATCCAAGTTCAAAGCACTTCAGGATGGCGAAGATGCTCGGTTTTGTGAACTGGTCCACCTAGTTAACAGAAGTTACAACACACTTAAAGAAGTCGGTCGCCCCAACGATATGAACAATAATCATATGTTAGCTTTAATCGAGCAAAAAATGTCAAGTGATGATCGCAAGGTTTGGGCACGAGATCTCGAAAGAGAGAAAAAGGAAGCCACACTGGAAAACATTATGAAGTGGATGACAACAGAAATGAAGTCCCGCATGAGAGCATCAGCCCCTCTGCGAAACCAAGGTAGAACAAGATGGAACGTCAACCATGTCGGGCATGAAGAACACGAAAGGCACAAGTGTTGGTTGTGCAAGACCTCAACGCACTGGGTCGACCAATGTTCGAAGCTAGAAGCATGAGTCCAGAGAACCGAATGAAGATGATAAGAGAAAATCGTGCTTGCTTCTCATGTTTGAAGAAAACCAGCAAGAATCATAAAGCAGCTACATGCTCACGAAGACGCCAGTGTACAGGCAAAGTAAACGGTCAACAATGAAAGTCATACCACCACCCCCTGCTGCATGAATCCAGCCCACCCAGTCAAGTTGGAGTTGCTTCAGTCAACAACGGCAAAGAAAGTATGCTCCCAGTTATTCAAGCGGAAGTTCTCGGTCAAGAAGGAAAGCGAAGGAAAGCTAAAATCTTATTGAACTCTGGCGCACAAGTAAGCCTGATTCGAAACTCGGTTGCCAAAGATTTAAGGTTGAAAGGAAAGGATGCGGATGTAACCATCACTAAAGTCGGAGGTGAAGAAGAGGAGATCCATACGAAGTTATACAAAGTCAGTTTACTGTCACTACAGAACAATAGTGTTCATCATATTACTGCTATTGGAATACCGTCCATTAGTGACAATGTCGCCTCAGTTGATGCTGGTAAAGTCAGTGAGAAACTGGGTCTCGAAGGAAGAAAGATTGTTCGAGGAAACGGTCCAATAGACATACTTATTGGAATTAATCATGCCAAGATGCATACCGGTGAGACAAAGGAAGCTGAAAATCTAGTCGCTCGACGGTCACCACTCGGTTGGGTCGTGTTCGGTGCAACAAGTGGATATCAAAGAAGAGTTAACAAAGTGTTGCACGTCCAGCTGACAAATCCAGTAGACATGACAGACTTCTGGACAACGGAAGCAATGGGTGTTACTACGAAGTCATGTAAGTGCAATCCCGAAAAGCTTAGTCCAATCGAACTACGCGAAAAGAAGATCATTGAGGATTCGTGTGAAAGAGTTGGAAATCAGTGGATGGTTTCATATCCGTGGAAAAAGGACAAAAACTTGCTACCAGACAACCGAAGCCAGGCACTCAAGAAACTAGAAGCCACCGAACGCCGCCTTATGAAAGATCCCGCCAGCGCCAAAGAGTATAACAAGCAGATAACCGAAATGACTGAGTTGAACTTTGCTAGAAAGTTATCGAAGGAAGAAATAACAAACCACAAACGTCCAGTACATTACATCGCTCATCACGAGGTAGTAAGGCCGGAGAAGAAAAGTACACCCGTTCGTATCGTGTTTAACTCGTCAGCTAGTTACCAAGGACACAAGCTCAATGATTACTGGTTCAAAGGACCGGACTTGCTAAATAACTTATTCGGTGTTGTGTTAAGATTCAGAGAAAACGAAGTTGCAATCAGTGGAGACATTTCTAAAATGTATCATCGAGTGTTGATTCCTAAAGAAGACCAAGACGTACATCGGTTTCTATGGAGGAACCTAGAAACGGACAGAGAACCTGACGTCTACGCGAAGACCGTACTTACATTCGGCGACAAGCCAGCACCGGCTATGGCTCAGATTGCACTCCGTAAAACAGCAGAAGAAGCAAGAGAAACCAATCCGGAAGCCGCAAAAACCCTTCTCGAGAATAGCTACGTCGATGACATCTGCGAATCCGTTCCAAACGTTGAGAAAGCACAGCAACTCACTACTGACGTAGATAAAGTATTGGCTTCAGGAGGCTTCAAAGTTAAAGGCTGGACATCAAATCATGTTCTTACTGAAGATAACTCGAATCAAGACGGAAGCAGTTCGACCGGAATGACATTACTTACAAACGAGACCGCTGAAAAGGTCCTGGGACTTGTTTGGGATCATTTGAAGGATGTTTTCACATTCAAAGTTAATGTTGAACTCTTGAATTCTGAACAAGCCGCCGCTGTACAGAAAATCCAAGGAAAACGGATAACGAAACGAATGATCTTGAGTCAAATAGCTCGCATATTTGATCCACTCGGTTTTGCCGCTGCCTTTATTGTTAAAGCCAAGATTGGAATGCAACATCTTTGGCAGAAAGGAGTAGATTGGGACGAACAGTTGTCAGTAGATGAGCACAACAAGTGGATGGAGTTGTTCGCACAAATGAAAGAGTTAAACGGTGTCACGATTGAAAGATGTCTGACTCCTCCCAACGCATTTGGAAACCGAGTTCTGTGTGTATTCTCGGATGCATCTATCGAAGCATTTGGAACTTGTGCTTACAGTAGATGGCCTCTCGGGGACGGCACGTTTGGTGTTACGTTTATCGCAGCGAAATCAAGAGTAGCACCTTTGAAACAGCTTACAATTCCACGACTGGAGTTGCAGGCAGCAGTATTGGCTACACGTCTAGGGAAAACCATCGCAGAAGAATCCAGATTCCAATTTGAGAAAGTCGTATATTTTCTGGATAGCATGATTGTGTTGGCATCGATTCGCTCGCAAGCTAGATCATTCAAAACATTCGTGTCGACCAGAATAGGAGAAATTCAAAGCAATTCTGATCCACTCCAATGGAAGCATATCCCCGGAGAAGTGAATGTAGCAGATGACGTATCTAGAGGCATATCAGTGCAAGATTTAACTCGAAGATGGAAATCCGGACCCGATTTTCTTAGCCACCCAGAAGAACAATGGCCCGAAACCATTTCAGCTGCAGTAGAAGAGAAAGAAGTAAACACGGAACGTCGTAAAACACCAGTTGTTTGCACCGTAAGCACAACGAAAGAAGCGATATGTTGTACGAACATTTCAAGTTGGCGAAAACTAGTAGGAGTAACAGCTCGAATACAGAAACTCGGAGCGAAAGTACAAAGCAAACGAGAAGGAAGTAACGCAACCGGCGAAACAGAAAATCACGGAACTCTCACCCCAAATGACCTGTACAAAGCCGAAGTGTATTGGATCAAACAAGCGCAGAAAGGTATTCACAGCCGAATAAAGAATGGCGAATTGAAGCAGTTTAGCCCTTTCGTAGATGATGAAGGAATTATCAGAGTCGGAGGTCGTTTGAGCAAAGCAATGGTGACGTACGACTGCAAGCATCCCGCAATGTTGCCATACAAACATTGGGTATCCCTATTGATAACGCGTCACATGCATCAACGAGGACATTCTGGTATCGCCTCAACCACCGCCAAAATTCGAAGAAAGTTTTGGATTCTACGAGCTCATAATCTGGCTAAGAAAGTAAAACACGAATGCGTATTCTGCAAAAGAACGGAACACAAGTTAGAAACTCAACTGATGGCAGATCTCCCGGAAAAACGACTAGCACCCCAGACGCCGCCGTTTTATTATACTTCTTGTGATTACTTTGGCCCTTACGCAGTGAAAGTCGGAAGAAACAAGACAGTAAAACACTACGGAGTGATCTTTACGTGTCTCAACACTAGAGCAATTCATTTAGAATTGGCTGTCGACTATTCCACGATGAGTTACATGCAAGTTCTCAGAAGATTTTTCTCCATCAGAGGATGTCCAAAATTTATGCTCAGTGACAATGGAACCCAGTTAGTTGGTGCTTCAAGAGAGTTACGAGAGATGATACAAGGTTGGGACATCAAAACACTTCGTGATTTCTGTGCTGAAAATGGAATGGTATGGCAATTTATAACGCCTGCAGCGCCGCACCAAAACGGGGTCTCTGAAGCTTTGGTGAAGAGCAGTAAATACGCGTTAAAGAAAGCAATCGGAGAGCAAGTACTAACACCATTCGAGTTGTACACGTGCTTGTTAGAAATTGCAAATCTGGTTAATCAGCGACCGATTGGCCGTATTCCAAACGACCCGGATGATGGATCGTATTTGTGTCCAAACGACATGTTGCTTGGTCGTTCCTCGTCCAATGTACCTCAAGGTCCATTCAAAGCTACCAAGAACCCAAGAGATCGTGTAGAATTTGTGCAGCGAATCGTAGATTCGTTTTGGGTCAGATGGACAACCGATGTTTTTCCGTCGCTTATCCCAAGAAAGAAGTGGAGCGTAGATCGTAGAAATATCCAAGTGAACGACGTGGTGATGACAGTGGATACAAATGCTGTAAGAGGAAAATGGACTATCGGACGAATCACAAAAGTACATCCCGGATCTGATGGCAAAGTGCGAAACGTGACATTGAAGACCCCTACTGGAGAATACCGAAGGCCAGTTACGAAGATTGCAGTGATCTACCCTAACGAAGGATATGGCGATGACGACGTCGTCATCGGCGGGGGAGAATGTTGCGAACAGTGACGTAATGTATATTTATTTATGTAATATATTCAGATTAGCCATTCTTAATTATGCTAAGACGCGGGAAATAATACATGTGTTATAAGGTTTGTAATAGCGACTTGAAACTATATCGGACACGCTAGATATATCGGACGAATTATTTGTTGTTTAAAGAGGATTGTTCAAAAACTCGTCAAGAAGTAAGTTACTGAGAAAGAACACGTATGTACCATTTATACTTTACTTACATTAGTTTTATATCTTTATACTTTTAGATCGAATAAAAATTATTGACATATTTAATACGTTCAATTGACTATACGATTCGCGGGTCTTTGTCGGTAATATATTGAGTTCTGTCGAACCCAACGGACCAGTAAGTTTTCATAGTAGCAAGTCTGTGTCCACCATGTCAAATGCCTTTCTTAGGTCAATAAATACAATCCCATTTATAAGACCGTTCTCCATATTTTCCGTCCACATATTAATAATTAATAAGTTTGCTTAACGCTGTTTCACATGAACGGTTTCTCCGAAAACCGGACTGGACATGGTGTAATAAGTTATGACTCACAAGGAACTCATAAAAATGGTTGTAAATGTGACGTTCCAGTATTTTGCTAACAGCAAAGTATGGCTAGGGGTCTAAAGTTATTGACATCAGATAAAGGACCAGCTTTATGAACTGGGATGATCTTTGATGTTTTCCATATCGTTGGAAATACGCCAGCTGACAAACTTTTGTTAAATACTTTTGTTAATGATGGGGTTATGAAATTTGCTGAAATCTTTAAAATCTTGTGGCTTAATCCGTCCAGTCCAGTTGCTTTGTGTGTTTCAAAGTTAAGCAAATGACTATAGATTTCCTTGTCAGTTATTGGTGGAATACTGAAAGCTATGTCATCGTTAACATTTGAGTTTACCATCTCTGTTAATTTATCAACGTTAGCTGATGGTAAGAACCAGTAGGTATTTGGCAGGGGTTCAGAGGATTTTAGAAATGTTATTTTACCCTAAATTAGCTTTTTAACATTAAAGATTGCAAACTATGATAGACTTACATAGGTGTTTGGCTGGAAACGGGGCAGACGAGACAAACTCGATTGATTCTGTGGATACCTTTCCCCAAGAGATGTTGAAATCTAGAGTCTCCTAAATGGCATTTCCTACATCCTAGGGAGGATTTGACTTGCAAAATCATCTACGGTTAAAAAATTTAACCCCCACAACAACCGTTTCAAACCATGTAAGGGGGAATCATGAGTGTTCAATATGCAATAAGTTTGCATTTGAGACAGAGAACAATATTAAGTTCTGCCACTCTAATCACTCTTTTGGAGGACTTTGCTCGCCCCACTTTGCTCATCCCTGTTCCACAACCTCCATCACGTAAGAGTTTGGTAAAGAAAATAGGGGCCTGGGGTTCCTCTCAGAAAATTTATATATTTTTGATGCTCAGTTTATTCATTCATAACCCCATGCACTTGTTGCAGTGTGCAGTACAGTAGTTTATATAGCCTGTATCCTCACATTCCACTCAATAGCATTAGCTGTGAGTTGGATCTGCCAGTGTATGTTCAATAAAAGTTACCTGAAGATGAAGATGACAATAATTTAATGCTTAACAATAGAAGAAAAAAAAATGAGTACTACTGGTCCAATGTCAAGCCACAGATAGTGAAAGATCTTCCAGATGGTATTGATGGGCTCCCGATTTATGTGCTAAAGAAAACCGGCAACAAACAAACTAATAACCAAGCATTACAAGATGGAAGAAGAGCTGTCCAACAGAATGGCTGGGTCATAGGTGTGCTCGATTTGCCGACTGCAAAGGATCACACAAATGCCTCAATGATTTTTGTGTGTGATAAACACCAGGCAGTTTGATAAACACCAGGCAGTTTGAGAAAAAAAAGATCACAGAATGATATGCAAAGGGTGTGGAATGAAGCCAACCTTCGTTGAATACTTAGCTAGACGATATGTAAGTACAACATCTAACCACACTACTGTATACCATTATGTAATCCATACTTGCCCAGTCCTTAAAGCAAAGACAAAAAATAAAGCCACCTAAGGTGTCCCAACTTATCAAAAGTAACCCGAACATAAAGCCTTCAGACATTCAGTCCTCTTGCATTCTGTCTGCATTTTGTGAAGGTGCTGATTGGCAAAAAGTAGAAAGAGGTGGAATGGCCACATTTGATAAAAATGGCTTTCAAATTTTAAACAAAAAATGAAAAACGACATGGAGCCTGTTGGTCATGACTTTGAAGCTGTCGTTAACAGAAGAAATCTATATATCCCCTTCTTTCGTTTTCAAGTTTAGTGAACAAAAGGCTAAAATGGCAATGGAAATGGACAAAGACAGTGAACATTTCCTTAAAGACGAGTATTGTTTCTTCAATGGGAAATGCAAGCGATGTTGTGGTTTTGTTACACTAACTGCAAGTTTTTACCATCCTCATATTTTAGCATATCATATTTTGGACTCTGTTCAATGAACTTCTTCAAAAGGTTTCTGGGACAAAGATTACAAGTTTAACCCGATCAGATTTTGCACCAATATTGCAGGTGTTAACTTTTCTGCCATAACAAAAGTTTTCGGTGATGAAATGAAATCGGCTGTCAAAAGTTGTAAATTTCATTTCAAAGAGCAGAGAAATAAAAGAGCTTGTCGAATGCAGGATGACGACAGTTGTTCCGAATTTAAAATGCTCTGTGAATGATTACTTTCAAGCACCACAGAGCAAGCATATGATAATGCGAAGAAAGACATGGACACATTTATAGACGAAAGTGAGGACAGAATGTTTTTAAAGACATGGATATCTTTGTGGCATGATAGATGTGGATTCATATTCAGAGACTTTGTCCCAACAAATGCTTCACAAATTAACCAAGCAGAGGTCGTTCACACAAGCTGGGTACACAGAAATTTGCCAAATCTTAGTTTGCTAGACACCTGTCCAGCATATCTGAGAGTTAGTGTGGTTTTGGATGTGGAACTTAAAGAATACGAAAGAGGTTCGTTGTCTGTTGGGACCAGTACTTCGTACGAGATCCGTAAAAAGAAAGAAAGGCGGCGAAAAGCACAAACGAACAAGCTGTGAATTTGCAACTACGACCGAGACTCGCCCAAGTGCAAGGTCAGCCAATTCCACCTTCGACCATCCCAAATATTAACCACCCTAAAGATGACCAAATCGGTGGTACTAATCCACTGAACATACCTTTCCCACAACCTACAATATCATTGCAGCATCCTCTCCCTCATAATTCATCAGACAGCCTCCTCCATCACACCCACAGCACCAATCTCCACTCCTACTCTAACCAGAGCCATCCTTGGCCTACTTCTTTCACTATTCCGCCTGCCCTGGGAGCATGGAATCAGCAACAATACCTGCAGTGGCATTCTGGATGATCACCACATCCATATGAGATTGCTGTCACCAGTCCAATGTGAAAAAGTGTTATGGTTGTGGTTGTGAATTCACAGATAAACTCAGACATCCACCATACAATCTTGTGCTTAAACACATGTACAAAAGAGTAACTGGAAAAAGTTCAGATTGCCAACTCCAATCACCTATCACCCTTCTTCACTGCACATAAAACGAAAAAATCCAGTCTAATGGGATTGTGTTAATTGACATTGTTTTGTTTTGTTTAATTCACTTGATGAACCTCAGTGACAAGTAATTGCAGCCTAGGACTTTAAGATTATTTTTAATGGCTAATTATTTGGCCTTTATTGCTACATTTTGCATGTGAGCAAATTTTAGATGAACATGAAATGCTAAAAGTTACCATGTATTACTACTAATCAGAAGGTAAGTTCTTTGTACGTTTGCATGGCAATAAAACATATAATAGTTTTGTTTGTGGAAACACCACATAAATTTTACGTGGTGTTTCCACAAACAAAACTATTAATCAGGAGGTGTTTTCATCAAATTTTTCAGCACTTTCTGGGCAAAGACAAGCATGAACTAATCTATGTTTACATATGACATTTATAAGCTTGTTGAAAACACTTCCTGATTAGCAATACATTCCACGCTAAGCCTAAAGGGAACACAGGGTACTTGGAATGCAGTTGACAGTCATCAGACATAGATTATTCTTAGAGAATTGGCTCTATTATGGGGAGATTGTTCTGTTTATCTGTTTATATTATCTGTTGTTATTATCTGTTGTTATAATATATAATATATAACATGCAGTAGTACATGAAGAATAATTTCTTTATATAAACTTATCCCCGAGCCGACGGCGCAAAGCGCCGTGCGAGGGTACCAATTCCCCCCCGGCTATTTGCACCCGGGGAAACGAAAGCATTAGCGAAGTCTAAAGTTCATCAAATATCACGGGCGTGGGTCACCAACCGTGGGTGGTCATCCTCACTGATCTCAAAAATATGGCAGATGTCATGAATAGCGAACACTGTGATTGGTCCAATTTAAAGCTTGCATTATAACGACTGCATGACGACAGCGAAATAGCAAACATTTCTTTATTTGATGATTGATAAATTTCTTGCAACTATATTTCATTTTTGCTCGCATTTTTGCAAGATTTTGTAAATTTCAAGTAAGAAATGGCGAAATAATCGGCTAAAAGAAGGGAGCCAACATTAACGAAGATTAGTTTGTTTTAAATATTGATTTTATAATTGTTTTAAAATCCGACGGCCTTTGCGTATATGAAACAACTAAACAAGACAGCAAATTGGGCCCCATTTCAGTGTATCTTTAATATTGATTTTATTATATTGAATTTTTTTAAATAAAAAAGAAAGCAAAATTATATGCATGCGAGAATTTGAAATCATTTTATTGCAAACTCAAAGTTTATCGATAAAGCCATTTAATTAAAGAATAAAGGCAGTTTAGTTTTATAAAGAACACTTTAAAGACTTTAAAACGTTTTGCGAAGCGTTTGTGGTTGAATTTTAGCTTAAATTGAAGCTTATATTACGTATAATATCATACCTAACATATATATGTTGGGAAATTGATAATTTTGTAATTAAAAGTGATATTTTTAAGCGATTTTTCATTTGTAAGAATATTCTTAAGAAATTATCGTGTTACCATGACAACTACTTTAGATATTTCATGTTCGGAAAATACAATGGTTTTGTCAGCAAGGCGAGGGTTTCTGCATGCATGTATTTTCTAGTCATCAATGTTGAACAAATATTTTTCCAGAACCACCCTATTCTTTTGTTTCACCCTGCATGGCTTCACAATATCATAGATAGCCCAGACACAGTGCGATTTAAATTCTTGGCATACTTAATTACCCCTTGTGGTATCAACCTCATAATGATAATAATTAGCTCAAAAATATTATGAATTTTTACACTAAAATGTATCTCTACACTAATCAATACTTATGGTTGAAAGAAATATACATACTTACATAGTGTGCATCAGCAAAAAAAATAGTAGTTTAACCACATGAAATCCAGTGGTTTCTACTAAAGGTATAAACTATTTCTTTTTACTGATGCATGCCATGTACGTACATACATATATATTTCTTTCAACGATAAGTACTGATTAGGTAGTAGATAATATGAAATCCTAAGTCCAATCTATTCTATTCTGGTTTGAAGTACTTCCATTTCACACAAGTTTTATACACTACAGGAATGCGGAAAATGAAGACTTTTTTTGGAGAAAGCTCCTCTGCACGTTTATGTGTTAACCTGTTAACCAAAGTTTAATCGGAAGTAAAGTTTCAATGACAATTTCTCGCAAGTTTTGATCCAGAACTGAATGCAAATCTCGACATCCGGGGTAGGCATAACTAACCCAGGAAAATATCACAATTAATTAAAATTAATTTTGAAATATTCCCCGGTTTTATATTCCCCAGCAGTGGCAGAAATCTTGGTGGTGTGGGCCCCCCCCCCCCCTCACCGAAAATTGACGAATTTTTGGAAATTTTGATCTAAAAGAGGGCTAAAAACAGTCTTTTCGAGTGCAAATGGGGGTATGTCTGAAATTTTAAAGATTTGTCGGAAATTTAGGAGGCTTTGCCCCCCCCCCCCCACCGGCAAAAGTGAATTTCCGCCACTGTTCCCCAGCCATGCACAGAATAATACTTGTATTCAAATTCCAGCAGTAATCAAATTCACACAGACAACAGGAGCCATAGGTGTTGTTCTAAATTAAAGTTGACGTTGTTCTTAAATTAAAGCAAGTTAATTGTGATATGTATGTGTAATAGTAAGTATTTGATTCTGTTGCTAAAAAATTGCAAACAAATTATAGAGTAAAAAAATTGACCCTCAACATTTTTTTCAACTCTCGACATTCTACCCTCAACCTATGACCCTTGACCAATAGTCAAACTTGAATTTGGCCCCATAACATATCTGTCACAGTTGTGTGGCAGATATCAGTCACAGTTATGCTCAGCTATATTAATGCCTGGGTCCCAGTTTGTGTATTTAAGAAAAATAGACAAAAAATCATAAAAAATAAATATGGCCTTGATTATTACCATTCAAGTTTTATGTTTTGTTAAAGTAGTTTCTAAAAGTTGACCCACCTTTTGTTGTCATGGCAATGATCATGTGGTGTATATTTCGAAATACAACACAAAAAATGCTACATTTTATTCAGAGGGTCTGCAGCAGTATAATTGATAAGACACAGAATTGCCATAATCATTCACATATGATATCAATGTTTATTGAATGAATCTAGAAAGTTGACATTTAGGCTTTGTTTCATTATTTTATGAGGATATATTACAATGGTCGGCATCAAATGTACGATTTCCCAATAAACATAGGGAACTTTGATACTTGTGATGTTACTCTGAATGTATATCCACACTGGGCAAGCTTGAAAATACATCCACACAGGCCAAGCTTGAAAAATATGCCTGGCCACAGTGGGAATCGAACCTATGACCTTTGGAATACTAGCCCAATGCTCTGCCTGAGCTACACGGTCAGGTTGGTTCGAGTATGTGATATTTTGGAATTGAGTCTAGTTCCTTTGAAATATCACATACCCGAACCAACCTGACCGTGTAGCTCAGTTGGCAGAGCATTGGGCTAGTATTCCAAAGGTTCGATTCCCACCATGGCCAGGCATATTTTTCAAGTTTGCCTGGTGTGGATATACACTCAGAGTAACATCACAAGCATCATATTCACCTGAGTACATCACACCAACACAAAACAAAGTAGGAAATTTTATTCCCTTGTTAATGTTTTTAGCTAAATAAAAATATCAAAATTTTGCCAAATTACCCTGCTGCAAGTCGAACATGTTTTTTGTGTGATGAATTTGCGCACACCATGATCAATAGGTGCCTGCCGTGAAACAAATATACAATGACTAATAAACCATTTAGATAAGACAAGTATAGTAGATAAGTATAGTATATTATGAGTACAGATCAATGTGAAAATATTACTATTGTTCGTTTATATATTGAGAGCAAAATATTGAAGGATACTTTAATTCAATTCAAACAACAACATTAATTGCAGCATTGTACCTTTAAAACAGCTTCAAACACAAAGTATTTTAGACCTTGTCTTAGCTATAACAATAGAAATACTATTAGTGGCATTGAAGTAATCCCGGTATAAGCAACCATGATATTGTGTTTTTTCTATAGACTGATGCTGTAGAAGGAAACCAAACGTTAAACTGAAAGTGTCTTTTCGAAAGAAAGCAGACTCAGAACGTATACCTGAACATTCAAATCGTAGTATTAATCCCCCAACTATTTCTACCCAAGGGGTTGTTGTCAAACTATCTGTGTTAAAACCCGATAAAGCACCTGGGCCAGATGAAATTCCCCTGTGGTTTATGAAGGAATATGAAAACGAAATTACTCCAACATTTACGAAGATATTCTAGGAGTCTATAGACAGTGGCATTGTACCAAAGAAATGGAAAATGCAAATGTCACGGCTATTTTGAAGAAAGGCTCTAAATCCGACCCTAAGAACGATAGGCCAATTTAGTTGATATGTATCGCTAGCTAGGTGCTCGGACCTATTGTTCATAGCTATATATGAATTATTTCGACCGATATAACATCTTAACAGATTTACAGCACAGTTTTAGGGCCAAAAGGTCGACTGTAACTCAATTGATTGGTACTATCCACAATATTTCAAATGCTATTAACAATGATACCACTGTACATGCTGTCATTCTGGACTTTGAAAAAGCGTTCGACAAAGTCCCACATCAACACCTGTTGAGAAAAGTACAAAGTTACGGAATACAAGGGCCCCCTGAATAATTGGCTTGAATCCTTTCTCACAGATTGTTATCAGACAGTTGTTTGTGAAGGGGGAAGCAGCCAAACCAACATTAGTTACCCCAGGCGTCCCACAAGGAACTGCCAACGATTTGCCAAATGCGCTGAATTCGGGAAGCTCGAACAATGATTAATTACAGGACGATCTTAGCAAGTTGGAAACCTGGCAAGAGAAATGGCAAATGAAGTTCAATCCAGGAAAATGTAAAGTGTTATGTATATCAACAAAAAAGACCCTCCACAAAGGAAATATTCTTTCTGTAACACAGAGTTGGAGCAAGTCGAGTTGGTCGCTTACCTAGGCACCCTAAAAATAACAAAAGGAAGTTCGCAGAGCATGTCTCAAATACAGCAAGTAAAGCCAGTAAATTCCTTGGAATGGCACAATTGTCCAAAACATGTTAGGGCAACTGTTTACAAAACAATGGTAAAACTCATGCTGATAAGCAGTCATGATTTTCTGCTGATCAAATGAAAATATGGCCAATCAGTATAGGATACATTCTATTTATATGTTCTGTGATAATGCCATAGTATTGCACGGTGTTCATTAACAACATTAACCATGTTTTTCAGATGGTTATTGCCAATCAAGATGATCGACAATCTTGCTTATCTGCCGATCAAAAGCAATTCCTGCCAATCATTGATCGGCCATTATTTCGAGCCCTGAGATAAGTCATACCCTTGTAGGTTTTAACATCGATCAGTATTTGAAATTACACTCAGAATCAAGAACACGCAGCAGCCACCCATTGAAATATCAGATCCCTAAGGCAATTTAACTAGGCAAGGACGTTTTTAAATATTCATATTACTCAAGAACTATCAGAGAATGGAATAAGCTACCACCTGAAATAGTCCTCTCAAGTTCATTAGGTGTATTCAAAACAAAACTAAGTAGTAATTTTTAATTATATTGTATTTTAGCTAACTTGGGACCTTTTAAACATATTTATATGTATTGACATTATTCATATTATAATTAGTTTATTTATAGATTTTAAAGTTGGTGTGATCTTGCAGAAGTTTACCGACATAATAAATTGAGATTGAGAAGAGAAATATATCACACTTAAACATCACCACCAACAAAAGTTTGAACCAGCCATATGCCAGGTTATTTATATGTATTTCAAATTTTTTTTCTGTGTATGGGACAGTAAAGAAGAATCACAAATCAACGTTAAATAATTCAGACATAAACGCACAATAGCGAGCTTTATATATCAAAGTTCAAATGTTGCAATGATATATTAACGGCTTATTGACCGAGCATGAGGTTCTGTACTGTGATATATTAGACCAAGGTTTTTTAGTATGGACCAAGCGACGAAGGAGCGAGCAGTCTGGTATTTCACAGTACAGACTGAACAAGAGAGGTCAATAATCGGTTTATTATATGGCTGAACTGATTCTGTGAGCATATGCTTTACGCGCGAATTAAATCGGCTATTGTCAGTTTCACTGGGTAACAATGTATGGTAGGTAACAATGTATGGTAGGTATGCATGCTCAATCAAAAAAAATTAGTTGTTTGAAATTTTTATCTGTAAATTTTAATGACACACAAGTTTGCAAGGGTGAAACAAACATGTAAGAAAACCACTATACACAACCTAAAACAGCCATAATATGCAATAGTAGTCTATAAAGTCAAAAGAATGTTTATTTATTTTTTATTTTTTTTTTATTTTTAAAGTTTTCGCCCATACATACAAAATATATATATATATATATGTATATATAGAATATAGAATTACAGAAGTAGGGCTAGAGGTCTACTAGAAACCAAACAAAGGCTTTTGATTAAGACCCCTAGGTTAAAAGTATTTAATTATTTACACTGATTGGTCAGAACTTAAAGTAAGTTTAATAGAAAAAAAAGATGAGATTGAAGAATTTTTATGATGTTTCAAATAATGACAAACATACATATAATAAAATCTATGTTTCCGAATGCAACATCAAGAAGTGGTTTTTGAATTTAAGTCAGTATTTAACTCTTCCAGATATTTACACCCTTATTTTGAAGTGAATGTTTGACAAAATTAGTTCTGGAGTATGATTTATGAAGTTTGGATGCATTTCTTGTATTGTGTTCATGTATTTTGTTGTTAGTAACATAGTAATTGGTAAAGTATTTTGGTAAATTATCCAAGTAGTGATATCGAAACATGAATAAACTGATCAGAAAATCATTAATTTTTTCAATGTTAAGAATCTTTGCTTCATTGAATAGTGGTTCAGAATGCTCAGAAAATGACTTGAACATCATTAATCGTATTATTTTCTTTTGAATGTTTATTAATTTTTGTAGTCGTGTTTCCCCAAATCAAATTTCCGTATATTAAATAAGGATAAACTAAAGCATAATGGACTAGTTTAAGAGTATTAAAATTTGTGAAATGTCGAATTTTGGATATTATTCCTATAGATTTTATAACTTTTTTCATAATTAAATCAATATGATCATTCCGTGTTAAGTGTTCATCAATAACAACACCAAGGAAAGTTGTATTTTTAACTTGTTTTATTGGTTGTCCATTTATCAATATTATTGTATTAAGTTTAATCCTTTTGATATTTGTGGTGTTACTCTGAGTGTATATCCACACCGGGCGAGCTTGAAATATATGCCCGGCCACGGTGGGATTCGAACCTACGACCTTTGGAATACTAGCCCAATGCTCTTCCAACTGAGCTACACGGTCAGGACGGTTCGAGTAAGTGATATTTCGGAACAGAATCTAGTTCCTTCGATACCAATGTATTCTAGTAATATGAATTTTTTCTGTGTTGGTGTAGTGTACTCAGGTGAATATGATATTTGTGGTGTTACTCTGAGTGTATATCCACACCGGGTGAGCTTGAAATATATGCCCGGCCACGGTGGGATTCGAACCTACGACCTTTGGAATACTAGCCCAATGCCCTTCCAACTGAGCTACGTGGTCAGGACGGTTCGAGTAAGTGGTATTTCGGAACAGAATCTAGTTCCTTCGATACCAATGTATTCTAGTAATATGAATTTTTTCTGTGTTGGTGTAGTGTACTCAGGTGAATATGATATTTGTGGTGTTACTCTGAGTGTATATCCACACCAGGTGAGCTTGAAATATATGCCTGGCCATGGTGGGATTCGAACCTACGACCTTTGGAATACTAGCCCAATGCTCTTCCAACTGAGCTACACGGTCAGTTGGAAGAGCATTGGGCTAGTATTTCAGCATTCTCGAAACCCAAGCTTTTCTTCCAACAGCTTGTGAATCATTGCTGTGGTGTTTTCATCGCTTTCTTCAGGCATGTTGTAAAACAGCAGATTGTTGCACATTGACCTCATTTTAAGGTCAATGACGCTGTTCAATGTTATGTTGTCAGCTTCAAGTTTGTTGATGCATTCGGTTGTTTCTCTCTGAACTTGCGCTTTTTTCTCATTTTCCTTCTTCAAATCGTCTATTTTGCTATGAGCGTATTCAATAGATTTTCTTACTTCTTTCAATTCCGTCTGTATATTTTCCATATTTTCTTGGATGATATCCAACTTGTCCATCTTCTTGCTCATACCAGATATCAACTCAAATATATCTTGTAGTTTAACTTCACTTCCGAAATTTTTGTTCATCTCCTTCTCTGTACCCTTATCTTCCATTTTTGTGTTCTGATTAGACTTGCTGGGCGTTTTTTTCAAAGAATTATTTGTATTTTGCGCACTGCGCTTTGAACCTTGTGTTACCGACATGACACCCGACATGACATGTTTGCATCATAAACTAATATGCTGAAACAGTTCAGCATTAATCATGACATATGTAGCAGTCATAGAAAAAAGCAATAGCATTTTAGTCCTCCTCATCACTTGCAATAATTGCATGGCGATGTTTGTTTTGGAGGTTAAAGTTAATCTGTCCATTAAAGATTGGAAACTACAACCCTGAAATGCTATGAACACCTGAGAAAAACAAGGAATTCTTCTAGTTGTCTCAAGATTCGTTTGCTGTGTTGAAAGATGTACACGAGATTTGATTGCTTGGCTGACACATTTGCAGAAAACTGGGAGTAGGACTAGACGAAGTTGACATGGTTGTGTTATCTAAGCTTGAAACTTGGCTGAGCATCTGGGACATTTGCCACTGTTTTTCCCCAGCAGATTTGTAAGAATGCAAACTCTCGGTGCTTTTGTGGCCCGCTGTGTTGAGCAACAAAATTCTCGGGCATATGTGTGTCAAATTTTCTAAGAAGCGAGCGCACTCAAGTAGAGCTCCTGGCATGTCAACTTGTTTTCTTCAGAAAAATATCATGGGATACAGTAACCCCCTCCCCCCTGTGGCCATGCCCTGTCATACCATGAACATTGTAAAGGGCTGATTACATGAACCGGGCTAACCCAGGTATACTTTTTAATATTTCAGTACATGCAAACAGTTTAGCTCATTCTAGTCCAGTTTCTTGGGTGAGCTGAAATTTCACATTTTAATTGTTTCAGAATAAGCAAACTAGGCTAGGCTACCCAGCCCTTTCCAGGTAATTTGCCCCTAAACTACTTAACTTAAATAGAAATATTGATAAATACTCTTTTCTCTGTCTTGCAGGTGTCCAGATAGTTGAAGAGGTGTTGTTCAAATGCTAAATGCATATTACAAACATTTTAAATCCACCCAAAACCTTCCTAGATACAACCCAAATGCTTTTCAAGAGTTTTTACATATTCCAACTCTCCTTGTCATGCATGACCAGTTCAAGGCACACAAAGCAAAGAAAAGATCTAAATAAGAACTGATGTGTGTCATTAGTCATACAGCTTTGTTTTGGATTGTCACAAAAGTGTGATTTTTTCCAAGTTGACAATGGCATTTTTCTCAAGTTTTCCCACTGCACAATTGACAGCATAGACACTCAGAGAGCAATAGGCACAGCATGCTCCAGTAGATCGGGCAATAATGCAATATGCAGCTTCCAATAAGTTAACCATTGACAAAGCAATTGCCATAGCAACTAAAAAGAGACAACTGATACTACTAATGATTGATGACTACACGCCAATACACACCAAAGACCAACTAGCTTGCAAACCAGCAATGCCAATACCATGTGTACAATCATTGTTAAGATCTTCCTAAACATTGAAGCCATTCCCATGAAAAAACCAGATGAAGTCCATCCTAAAAATGGAATTAACATCAATCAACTGATAAATCTAATTTGTTCTAATGAGAGTATGTCCAATTTTGTGAACATGTTTGCTACCTGCACACTCAAATTAACATCTGAATTCTTCAACCACTTATGGAGCATGAAAGCCTGGAAGCGCATGACTACTGTGCATCAGGTGATGTACAAGTAGTAGTAGTAAGTGCAAGTTTGATAATGTTTATCTGATCAACTTTTTAAAACTCCCTTTAAATATGATATTACATATGCTTTCAAAATATCCTTCCTAGGATTATGAATACTTGGTAAAGTGGCGAGGCTGGGCGCTAGAGTTCTACTCTTGGGAACCATCAACAAACCTGACCCAGGATTTACTAAGGCAAGTATGATTTCGAATTATTTGATAGTTTAGATTTTTTACTGTCTATATATTGTTATACAGACAGTCAATGTTTTATTTTCAGAAGTCTACCTTGGAGATGTAGCACTCTACTGTCATGAGTATTGGCACAGTGTTTGATATTTAGCGAAATTTTAAGCTTTATTACTTTATAATATAACAAGGTATTAATGCTCAACTGTTTGCACTTCTAGAAACTACAGTAAGCCTCCCATAACTGAGGAAAGACTACAGGATGTTTGCAGACAGTTCTGTTCTGGTGTAACATCAGCAATCAAAAGCCCATCATCATCCCCCCTATATGTTAATTGTGACCTCGATGTTTGGAGATATGTGACATTTGGGAAAGGAGTTCCGTCCGAGCATCGTGGTCATTTCCTTTTTGAGAAAAATGATTTCAATCGATTGAAGTTTTTGCCCGAGAACTGGTGGTACCAGCTGAACAATGATGGCCAGAGAACAGCAGTGAAGTTCCCCATTAAAATAAAACCTCTTTTATCATGGTTGTCATCATGTAACATGAAAAAGATGGGAAATTGGTTAAAGAACCACGGTTTCCTCTGGAGAAGTTATGTATAACAATAGGAGTGGCTGCAATATTAACAACATTTAAAAAACATAGCTTTTGTAATAATGATTTTAATAGCAAATACATAGGTTTGTTAATATGTTAAAACTGAAATCTAGTTTCATCAATATCACAACATCAGTTAACGTCTCCTCCATGTTCATGTTAGATTCATTGTGGGATAGTGAACCCAAGTTCTGAAAATGATTCAGTATTTTCCTTTTCAGTTGAAAGGTTGTCTAATAGTAGCTCTTGTAGCTTCTTTCTACTCCTTAATTTAGTAAGAAGTCCCCCAAGTCCTTTAATATTTTTTAAATTTCCTCGAGGCTCAAACTATCTAAATCAGTGGCATTTGGTTCCCCAGGATTTACAATACCAATTCTTTGCCTTTTGGTTCTGGATTCCAAAATCCCAGTTTCCCAGTAGCTTTGGAATGCTAGGTGCTTGACACGTTTTCCGACCAACAAAACATCTTTGGCAGCATCCCATTTGTTTGATCTCTGAAGGTGCACTCTCCGGCAGTCATCATTTAGTTTCTCCACACCTAAAAGATTATATTAATTAGCCATTTAGTTTTGGGAATATCAGTGGTGTATTTGGTAGCCTCAGTAGTAATATCTACCTTGTCCAGTGAATCTTTTTATTCCTTGGTGTTTCTCAAGGAATCTGGGCACATGATACACCATTGCGTGCACGTAGGGCGTAACCCTTGCCATTTCATAGCCATTACGTATTCCACCAAGAGATGTAAAAAGGTTTACCCATCTGGTGGCCTAAATAACCAAGACACAAACACAGTTAACAGTCTGGTTAATTACAAAAGAACCTTTATTTATGCAATTTTAACCTTGTTAAAATAATCCAATATTTTATCCAATCTTGGATCTTGCATCTGTAACAGCTTGTACAGTTCACAGAAGTCCTAAAACCAAACAACTGAGGTAGTCACTGTCATCATTGATCACATGGGCTAGTGTGGCCTAACATCTCTTTAACCCTTTCAGTGGCAATGCACACAGATGCGCCCTACTTTATTATTTTACTCTGTCTAATGCCAGGCTCGTCTGGGGAGAGTGCTGCCACTCAATGGGTTAATTAACAAAAGGTCCTTTTATCGGTTATCAACATGGGCGTACGGGAGGGAGGTGGAAGCAAATACCAGACTTTCCCCAATGTGCCCGACTTATCGAAAACCTAGCATGAGGGGGTGGGGGCTGCCCATGTATAAATGATTTGAAAGTATCGAAAAAATATTACTAATAATACCTTCCATAGCTTAATCACAGTTTCCAGAGTCTCTGGTTTGACAACATTTTCAAGCTTGCTTGGCAATTTTTGCAACAACAGCTTCTTGTCGGAGCCCATCAAGCTTGTGAAATCTAGTAGTCCACTTTCTCTCCCATTGCCATCCATCTTTTGCCAAACATTGAATGACACTCCACAACTATTTATAGCCTTGATGAGGCTATCCATGTGCATGTTTGTTCGATCAATTGGACGTTTATTTAGATTGTCTTCCCGATCCCAATCCTGCATTTCCATCACCAAATTTGTGGTGAGTTTATCTGTAAAATAAAAAAATATGAGTATTACTCTTGTGTATATAGAAAGAGTATGATGTTCCGTACATTTCTTAAATGAAACCGTTTTGTTACTCATGCAATATGTACACACACCTGTTATCCGAAGCATTAAATGGAGCTCATCTAGGACCACATTTTCAAGGGGAATATTAATTAGAGGCTGGTGTGCACAAGAACATTTACTGCTTCTGGCATGTGTCTGGATCTCAGTTATTGACCTCGCCAAACTTTCCCAATAAAAATCCTTTGGCTTTGACATATCACTTCTACAAGTAAAAGTTATATAATTACTGGACCATTACACATATTTAGTAGTAGTAGTGTGTATATATATATAATATACGGTATATACATATATTTACCTAGCATTCTTGTGGATCTTGCACCAAATGCATGCATGATCTGAAGTTGCAGATTTCATACCAAGCAACAGAAGAAACTGGAATGAGAAAACATATTTATCATTATTTATTTATGACAATAAGGACCAATTACAGCTAGTAGTGTACTCATGAATTACAATACCTTGTAGTCTCCCCCAATATATACTTCCACAGGGATATCTATGGTGGCCCAGGACTGCCATAAGAAAATGTTCTTTTTTTGTTAAAATTTATTTTAAAAAATAATAATAGAATAAAAACAAAATTAAAATAAAAGAAATTAAGTGAAAATGAAATTAATATACTTACATGGCCCACAACTGCCATAGCATTTTTTTTTTTAAACTAAAATCATTTTTCACATTGGCCCAGAGCTTCCATAGACCAGCATATCTTGCAACGCGACTGACCAGTTGAAATTCCTAACACCAAGTGCTGGCTCTTTGGAAACTCGTGCACTTGTGTTTAAACATGGCTGCCAAAGACAACGCATGGCGTTCGTTCCAGGAAGAAATGAAACGAAAACGGACAAAAGTTGGGGCAAAGGATCGTAAATGGGTAAAGAAATCTGAACTAGTCGTTCAACGTCTCGGTGCCGAAGTGGCAGGCAAAGTGCAGAAATTTTCTAGAGTGGGTCTGTGAGAATTTGTACCCTATGACCCAGACGAAGATTTGACGCTAGAGGGTATAAAATCAGCATGTGAAAAACATTTCGCTCGTACTCTGTCTGGAAATCTTAAGTATGATGTACTAGCTGGCGAACAAGGACCCTCCTGCAAAACATTAGACCGGGTACCCAATGTTACTAAGCTGATTCATGTTCGCTTTATGAAATGTGATGAGAACGACATGTATAAAGGTATAAACAGTGACAGCTCTGACAAAGGTACCCAACGACACGTGAAAGGAAAACAAACCCCAAAATCCTGCGGTGCCTTCACCTCCCAAAGTTTCGCCAGCTACAAGTCAATATTATCCTAAAAGTCTGTCTGTACTCGACATGTTAAAAATGGGTAAGGTTGTAGACAAGAAAAGTACGACTGTTATCACTCTCCATTCCTTCAATATCGAGTTGATGGCTTGGAACAAAATCCCCACCACAGTTGAATTTGTTGTTGATGAACAGGAACTGGGATCCGGAGGATTCCGTACAGCATTTAAAGCAACAACCCAACACCCCATGTATGCTAATACCACTTGTGTTGTAAAGCGATACTTGCCCGAAGCAAAGGTTTTAATTCAAGAAACGAATCAAAACATTGAGGCACACACAAGCAGTGCAGTGCAGATGCATGTTTTAGCACGGAATTTCGCACATCAACTTAAGAGGGTCATGGCATCATCAGTGGATAGCCAGTATGGTCCATCTCTTCAGTATAATAAAGTATATTTTGGGATGACCGATGGTAATGAATGTGTTACTGTGGAAGAGTATGTTGATGGCAAATTTATCAAGTATATTAACAACGATGGCATCTCTTGTGTTGAGCGATCAGATGATATGTGCCAAAAGGCACATTGCCTTGCTCATTTTTCTTACGAAAGGTCTGATAAGAAGCTTATTATCCTTGATATACAAGGAAGTGGTCACACACTTTTTGACCCAGAGATAGCAACCTCTGAGTTGTTTGACAAGGATTCTGAGATGTTATTTTGCAGTGGAAATGTGTCTATGGTTGCAATTAAGAACTTTGCCAAAAAGCATCAATGTGATAATTACTGCATATCTGCTGGCCTTACAAAATTGAAGTGATCAGACTGTCTGATTCCTTTTAAAAACTGAGCTTATATATACATGTACACTAACATATAACAGCTTACTTTTAAAAGTATGACAACATGCTGTGTCAAAGCAAGGCATGGTGTTAAAACAATGTAAACGAGGGAGAACTACACTCCCTCAATTGCATCTATGCATAGACAGAAGCATTTTTATATTCACATTTTTATCCAGGGTGTCCATGGTTAGATGCTATTGTGTTTCCTTGCTACCCCTATTGTGTAAAATTGTAAATGAATTTACATGGGTCAAAAGACAAAAACAGTTAGCTGTCAATCATTTCATATCTTGTAAATATTTTGTTGAGTTAGTGTTTATCATTTAAACTTTAAATAATGACATGAATATTTATGTTTCGGGACTATCATGTACAGTATGTTGAGTTAATACAGGTATGTTATGTTAATTCATTTTTACAGTCACTGTGTTTGATCACTTTGATGAAATCTTTGCTTAAATACAAGTATGCATCTGCACAATCAGAGGGTTCAACCTTTTCTGGAAAAGGTATAATAGCTTCACATTTTCTTCTTATTTCTGGTGGAAGGAAGTCGTTATCTATTTCAAGAACTCCAGAATGTTGAGCAACCTCAGCTAATTGCTCTTCTGTCACAGGAAAACCTATTAAATACACATGTAGGAACAGTTACAGTTAAGTAGTCTCACTAATAAGCCCAACACGGCGTTTATTGTTCCAGGCACATTGAGGGCAGGGGGGGTTATTGAACTTTATCTAAAAAGGGTGAGGCTTACCACATTCTTCCAACTTATATTCTTATGGAAAGCTATAAATGTGATCAGGAACACCATCGGGTAGCAGCATGTCTTTCTGACGAGGAATTCTGTGGCTGTTCCACACTGTTTCTCGAAAAATGTCAAGTTGAACTTGCAGAACAGGAATAAGCAGGAATGCCAGGAGCATCCTGAAATCATATAGACATTAGCTAAACTTCAGTAAAGTCTACATATTAATGTCGATGCCATAGAAGTGTTATAAAATATTGCATCAATTCATTTCCTCAAGTTGATCAATTCATTTGATAGAAAATTGATCAACTTGCTGTTACTTCTAGATGAGAAAATTATATTTCGTTTCAGAACCGACTAACCAATAGGAAACGCACAGGAATTAAAAAGAAATTTGAATTCATATGAATTGATCAACTTGAGGAAATGAATTGATGCAATATTTTAACACTTCTATTGCATTGACAATATATTAAAAAAGAGCTTGATGACATATACTATACACACCTATGATCATCATCATCAGGGTTATAGTGGCCCTCATTCTTTAGCCAGGACAATTGCACCTTAAAGTACTTTTCCATGCGCTCGTGAACCTCCTTCCACCAACGTTCTATCTATAGGGATTGTTATAAGTTTTATTCAGTTGTAAAATAAGAAATATTGAGAGCTAACTCATATCCCAACATCCTCTTAGCTTGTAAAATTCAAAACCATCTGTCCCTGTAGTTTTGGGAATTGATTGTATGATTCCACACAGAATATCAGATCATGACAAACAGTAAAATAATGAGTATTGGGGAGACTCTTAAAGTGATCAACATTTTACCTGGTTTGACGTGGAAGGTCCATAAAGTACTGTGTCAAATGGATCCATGTCACCATGGCTTTGCCTAAGAAACGAATGTATTGTAGTCATGATCCCAGTCTCAGTTCCTTTATCGACGCGTAACATTGAGGCCATTCTTTTCGTTTCATATAGGTGCTCTAAATACCAACGTCCAATTCTTTTTGGGTGAGAGTTACTATCCCAAATTTTTAACCACAGGATTTTTCTACTTGCAGTATCAATTGAGCCATATATAGCTAATGGGAACGTACTGTTCTGGTATCCCATTAGCTTATCATGGCCGTCCATCGAGTGTACAAAATTGGTGCCTCTTGTTGTAAAATTGCCTTTAACTTTTCTTTTCCTCGCCGTTGGGTCACGAGCTTCGAGTCCTTCCGGGTCTACCTCAAACATCACGGCATGTACTAAATTTCTAGGGACATTTAGATGATATTCTTGCCTTATTTTATTGTACATCCCTCTATACCCCAACAGTTTGCCAGGACCGTTGATCTATTTCTCGACAGCTGTTCTAACTTCTTCGACACTAACACTTTCGTCAGTCCGGCGAATGTCAAAGTGCTTTAGACGTCGATCCAACGTTCTCAAACTCCAAGCATATTCACCAAAATCTCGCTTCATAAAATCCAATATTTCGACACATTGTAGGTTGCTCTTTACATGCTTCTCAAGTTCCGTTTTCAAGTTTTCGTCTTCTTTCCAATCTGCATTGCGAATTCTGTCCGCCATTTTGAACTGAACATAGCCACAATGGGTGGAATACTTGGTGTTAGGAATTTCAACTGGTCAGTCGCGTCGCAAGATATGCTGGTCTATGGCAGCTCTGGGCCAATGTGAAAAATGATTTTAGTTTAAAAAAAAAATGCTATGGCAGCTGTGGGCCATGTAAGTATATTAATTTCATTTTCACTTCATTTCTTTTTATTTTAATTTTGTTTTTATTTTATTTTTATTTAAATATTTTTAATTATTATTTTTTAAAATAAAAATTTTAACAAAAAAAGAACATTTTCTTATGGCAGTCCTGGGCCACCATAGATATCTTTTTCATCAATGTTAACTTTCTTGCTTTTGGCCAATTTATTGAACTGCGAGAGGATGTCGGAGCATGATTTTTTCAGAAGCTCATATGACTCTTGAGCATTGCCAGCAACACTGTGTATTTATTTGTAGCGTGTGAGGAAATAATATAAATAAACAAATAGCTTTCCTCAAATGTTCATAGTTGGTAGTTATCAGCTTTGCGGAAGCTAATTTCCTACTCAGACATATTCCAATGAAATGTACATCCTTGGTCACAAATATTTTCATTCGAAACATTCGAGAAACCTAGACTAGGTGAAAAGAAACATGACTCTTTTCTACCTGGAACAAGTTTAGGAGTTAAAATAATACTACCAAAATTACGAGTAATAAACAAACTTTTATCACCCACACAATTTTCCCGTCACACATATTTGTTGGCATGTTGCAAACAATTTTAGGCCAGGCTTTTGTATTTCATCACAAAACTGATATTATCTTACACTGTTCGTAACTATATTGGTTTCATTTAATCATGTGAGGTTTATAGCAAAGGAAAATTAAAAGCAGATTCCGAAAGTTCATGAACTAAACTTGTTACAAACAGAAATCCAGATTTGAAACAACTAAAACCGACACTTTATAGTGACAAAATGTAGCTCAATGTTTCAAATGTATTTTTTTACAAACGATGGCATGACCTCGTGCATATTTTATATCTTTTTAAAAACAAGTTAGCATGATAACCATTGAAAGTAAGGCTTTATCGCCGATGTATTTGACTGACTGTCCTTGTTACGCGTGACGGAAAACATTCCACACACTTGAAGCTTTGCATGTAAAAACCAATCGAAAGCAAATTGTAGATGCAAAAGTCTGCTTAATTAACTTGTGATCAACTCGTTCTTTTTAATACTTTATTCACATGGCGTTGTTCGGTACGTAACGGTACGGTTTCTACAAATTTACAAACACTTAAGTATGAACAATATGGTCTACAAATATTGAAGATTCGCACACATATACATATATATACTTTCAATCACTTTGACATTATCCAGGGATTTATTCCACATCGTGTAGAATATCTTAATTATGTCTTGTACATCTACATGTTATAGCCTTAGCTTCTTAGTGATATCTAACCCAAAAAGGTTCTTGCACAATCATTTATAGCTTATTAAATATTCTGATGTTAATATTCTTATGTTAATATCTAATTAACGGAAGTTACATTCCCGGCTCCTTGAATAACTATGGATAAAGTGTATCTTGTACAAAGTATTTCAATTCAAATCTGTTCAGTTACTTAGAACTCATCTACTTCTAATAAAATACACTTAGTTGTAGGTCGTTCTAATATTGTTAATTTTGTCTGTAATTTAACTTTTCACTTGACGTTGGGGTAAACTTCTGTAATTCTTGCCAAAGGCCAGGAACTTCTTGGGGTTGTCTCATTCACTATCAGAACAATATCTCCTTCGCGAAAATTCCTACGAGAACGGTTCCATTTCTGTCTGTTTTGAAGAAGAGGTAGATACTCACACGTCCAGTGACTCCGGAATTGGTCTGATAAATATTGCATGTGTCGCCATCTTCGTGAGTAACACAATCCTCCTTTGTAAACGTACCAGGTGGTAAGCCTGGACCAGCTCGTAGCAAAAGTAGGTGATTTGGAGTTAGTGTTTCTAAATCTCTCAGATCGTTTGAGACACTTGTAAGAGGTCTTCCGTTTAAAATTGCTTCGACTTCACACAGGAAGGTAGGCAAACTTTTATCGTCCAATCTTTGTTCGTGAAGTGAGGCAGCTAATACTTTTCGGATGGATCTTATGCATCTTTCCCATATACCACCATGATGAGAACCTCCTGGAGGATTATAAAAAGCCACTGTATATCTTGTTGTAATAAGAACTTGTTAATTTGCTGCTGATTCCATTCTTTAATAGCTTGTTGGATTTCCTTTCCACCACTGACAATGTTCGTGCCATTGTCGCTTCTCATCTGGTTTGGATTTCCTTTTCTTGTGATAAATCGACGCAAGGCATATACAAACGAACTTGTATCAAGAGAATGTGCCACCTCTATGTGGACTGCTCTCGTCGACAGACAAGTGAAGATGCAACCATATCTTTTAACTTCTGCCTGACCTCTCTTAACGAAAAACGGTCCGAAGAAATCTACTCCGACATTTGTGAATGGTGGTTGATCTGCAGTGACTCAGTCTGCAGGTAGATCCACCATCTTTTGCTTCCCTGGAGATCCCTTGTCTTCTACGACAACCGACACATCGACTTAGTATTCTTCGAACAGCGGTATTGGCGTGGATGATCCAAAATGATCCCCTCAGCAGTGACAATACGTATTCTCTACCCGAGTGTCCAGATACTTCGTGGTAATGACGAACGATCAGATCTGTAACATGGTGAGCTTTCGGTATAATAACTTGATGTTTTGCATCCGCAGGTATCGAAGCACGTCGTAGGCAGCCACCAACTTGTTATAGCCCATCAATCAGCACAGGATCTAACATGAATATCGAACTAATCTTCTTTACGCGTGCCCCTCCGTGTTGATTTGCTTGCTGGAATAATGGCACCATGACAACTCGCTAACTCTTCGGGAAAATTTGTTTTCTGCACATGCTTCAACAACTCCCTTTCAGCCATTTTCAATTCGGTGACAGTAATAGGCTTGATGGTACTCTGTTGATGATCATTTGCTGAATTTCCATTGCTACGTTTACGGTAAGCTACGAGTAAATTTAGTCTAAATCGCAGCATCCAGGCGAAAAATTTCTTCAATTGAGCCCACAATGAAAAGTGTTCAATGATTGAATCGCCCCCTTTATCCATCTTGCGCAGCTCAGGAAATCATCAGCAGATAAACCTCTAGAAGCATCGTCTGCCGGATTCATTTTCCCATCATGTCTCCACTGTGACAGAGAAGAATTATCCCGAATGGTACCAATTCTATTCGCTACAAACGTATTGAAACGTTTATCTTGATTTTCAATGTAGCGGAGGATGGAAGTGCTGTCGGTCCAAAATATCGAATCGTCAGTGGGCAATTCCAATTCTTGTCTTGCCGTCAAGTCGAACAGAAACAGTTGCTGCCAACAGTTCGAGTCTCAGTATGGTCATTGATTTGAGTGAAGCTACCCGCGATTTCCTGATCAAAAAGACGCAGTGGATCTTCTCATCTTGGTTGACCATCCGCACATACGACACAGCACCATAAGCACTTTCGGACACGTCAGAGAAATGATGTAATTGGCAGGACATGACTGGGCCAAATTCGACTGGCTCGAAACAACGATCGACTGAGAATTATGCCAATCTTGGTAATTCTGCTAACCATCGTTCCCATGGAATCCGATGCTCTTCCGGAATAGGCTCTTCCGGAATAGGCTCGTCCCAACCAACTCCTTCATGACACAGTTCTTGTAAAATCGATTTAGCTGGTAGAACAAATGGTGCTGCTAAGCCCAAAGGATCATAAATGGAAGTAACTATAGATAGAATACCACGCCGAGTGTGTGGACGAGTTTTGATTGTGATGTAACCAAAGACATCCGTTTTGATATTCCAATGGTTTCCAAGTGCTCTTTCAATGGGTAAATCTTCTAAGTCGAGGTTCTTGACTGTAGCTGCTCTTTCTGATTCAGGAATGGCTTCAAGAACTCGCCGAGAGTTGGATAACCATTTCGTTAAGCGAAACCCACCTTTCGCCATCAGTTGTCAGAGTTGTTGCACTAGGGTAATTGCAACAAGGTCATTTTCCACAGACTTCAAGCAATCATCCACGTAAATGTTGCGCATTAGTCTGGATTGTCTCTGCATCAAAATAATCCTTGTTATCTTTGGCAGTCTTCTGAATTGCAAAACTGCAGCAGCTTGGGGATGAAACTGCTCCGAATAGGTGTACTTTCATTCTATACTAGACTGGCTCTTGCAACAAATCATTTCCAGGCCACCAAAGGAATCGTAGAAAATCTCGCTGATTACATACAACGTGAACCTGGTGGAACATGGCCTCGATATCGCTCATGATTGCCACTGGGTCTTGTCTAAATCACATTAAAACGCCCACGAGTGTATTGGTCAAATTGTGTCCTGTTAGAAGTTGGCTTGAGTGCTTTAATATTATCATTGCCAATCAGTAAACCAACTTCTGCATTTTATATGCTCCAATCGTATTCCGTTTAAGTGTGGCCATCGATCTGTGTCAGCTTGCTTAGGTATGTTGTGAACACTGTTGGTGTGAACCTGTCAAACCCAATTGATCTTTAAGCACCTCTGTGCACAACGTAGTGTTTGACCCGCCGTCCAATAGAGCATAAGTTGAGATATAGCGTTCTTGGTGTCCATCCTTCTTGACTTTAACCTTGACTGGAACGACTGATAGGCCAACTGCTAATCTTGGCACGTGTGTAAATGTACACGATCACTCATTACTGGTAAAAATTTCTGTTTGAACTAGTTTTTTGGCTGACGATAAATTGCGTTGACTTCCCAAGCGCTGATCGTTTCTCGAGGAAGTTAGGTGCAACATTGTAGAATGTCTTCGACCACACTCTTTGCAACTTTTCTGTCTTCGACAATCCTTTGCCGTATGATAAGGTGTTAAACAATTGGAACATAAACCTTTTCATTTGACAAGTTCCACGCGTTCTTCGTAAGACATAGCTTGGAATTTTGAGCATTCTTCCGGTGTATGGGCTTGGTTGCAAACAATGCAATTCTTGATTGGTCTTGGTGATTCAACATTGCCAAAGTTGCCTTTCCGTTTAGTATCATTGTTCCCTTTCCCAGCTTGCGTAGCTAAACTAGTCCCTTTCAGTTTCTTGTTTCTGATCTTCTTGCCAGTATAGTCATAATCAGCTGAAATGTTACCAAACACGGGATGATTGAGGATTTGTGCTTGCCTTTTGACAAATCGAGTAACATCGCAAAGGGTAATTTCTCTCTCTTCATCCTCAGTTATATTATCGGCGATGGCACGCCACCTTTTTCTCATATCGTATGGTAGTCTTGCGATGATTAACTTCAAGCACTCTGGGTTCTCGATCTTGCTCATATAACCGATTTCAGTAAGTGTGTTCATATACAATGTTAACTGAACCGACAATCGTTGAATGGCTGCATTGTCTTCTCTTTTAATAACCGGTCCTTTTGGGAGTTTATCGACATCAGCTGTGGCAATTCTATAATTCTGACTGAATCTTTTCTTTAAAAGTTTTCTTGCTTCGAGATAACCTCTTTTGGGATCCATGGCCGAACAGCTATGCATTAGCTCTTGTACTTCTCCAGTTGTATATTGTATAAGGTAATACAATCTTACGCTGGAGCTCTTTGTATTTGCTTCGATGATGCTTTCGAACACTCAAATAAAGTCGCAATATTCCATTGCATTCCCACCAAACTCGGTTTTGGTAACACCAACAACATCACATTCATTTGTTGTATGAATAAATCATTCAAGGTTAAAGGATTTATTAAAGGATTTATTTCACAGTTACGTTAATTAATTGCCGTTTTGTTTCATACAATACTTCGCTATTGTCTTCATATGGTCTATTGTCCGATTTGAGATTGTTTGACGCCCCCAACATTGATTGTTCATGCTTCATTGAAGTCGACTTTGCCCTTGACAATGGTTCTTTAATATTCAAAGACGCCCCACGTTCTGCTGCTTCGGCTTCAGCAAATACTTTCTCTCTTGCATAACATTCAGCCAGTTCAGATTTAACTGTCAATCGTTCTTCGGCCTGCAGTAGGCAAATGTTCTCCTCGTCTCTTGTTTTCTGTAGCTCGAGTCGTCTTTCGGCTAAAGCTTGTTTTTTCCCTAGTAGTTCGAGTTTAGCTTTGAGCGCTTTCCCATTAGCTGTTTCTTCAACCAACCGTAGCTTAGTTGAGCTGGATGTTGAGTGTTTGGACAGGTTACTTGTTGAGTGTTTGGACAGGTCACTTGTTGTTGATCATCCTGTAGCGCTTCTCTGGCTGACAGAATCTTCAGGATTTACTTCGTCTTCAACTTGAAGTCTAGTCCTTTCCTCCATGTCCTCGATCCACAGGTTTACTCTCTTGTACAATAGCTCTATTTCATCATATCCGTCTTTATAATATTGTTCTGATTGTTCTATTTTGTTCCGCTCGACAAGCTGACTGTGGACATTAACGTGAGCGATGGCAAACATGTTAAAGGTCTTGTCTATTTCATCGTTTTTTCGCTTTATCGCTTCGACGCTGACTTGGTCATGACTCTTCATTAGCTCGACAAGTTCGTTTTTCCTTCTAGTTAGAACCAATTTATATATATATATATATATATATATATATATATATATATATATATATATACTTATAATCACTTTGACGTTATCCAGGGATTTATTCCACATCGTGTAGAATATCTTAATTATGTCTTGTACATCTACATGTTATAGCCTTAGCTTCCTAGTCATATCTAACCCAAAAAGGTTCTTGCACAAGCATTTATAGCTTATTAAATATTCTGATGTTAATATTCTATTCTTATGTTAATATCTAATTAACGGAAGTTACACAAATCTACCAGAAATAAGATTACAAGTACAAACCTTTTCATTGAAGTTTATATAAACACGCTGAATTTGCTCCAAAGATGAATTAGTTCCTTGTCAGATGCAAACTTTATGGCACCAAGCCCACAAAATACCCCGCCTTCGTATTTTGTCACCAAGAACATTTAACGGTCCATAACTTTGTAAGGCTTCCACAATCCGTCTTCGTTTTTCAGCACACCGAATGTCGAAAACTTGTTTTCAAAGATCATAGGAAGATCGAGGGAATCTTGGACGAATTTTGGACACACGATGCTGAAAGAACAGCCAAACTAGTCATGTAATCGAAAGCTTGTTGTTGACAGCCAAGATGTTCTGCCAACTGGCTTCACCGGCAAAAGTCTTATTTTTAATATCGGGTCCTACTGGCATTGTTTTCTCAGCTACATCGCCTTCTTCGTGGTACGATTGAGAATTTCATTGTTGCTGTTGTTAGCCCGTTAGTCACTAGAGTATATCCGTGTCCAGCAAGTTGAGACCTTGAGAAAGCTTGGCAGTCAAGCCGTGCACAGAACTAACTAATTAAATCTTTGTTTGCTGTTCGGTTAAAGGTGATCTACAGTCCGATCTGCACTTGTGCACAAAGGAGCCCACTTTTTATGATATAAACAGTTTAACTATGTTTTGGGTTGCTTGAAAATATAAATAGTTGTCAAATAAAGCTCAATATTTTGGACGCAAGAATGTAAACAAAGGCTTTGTTTACATACGGACTGTAGATCACCTTTAAATAGAGAAACTGACTCTTAATTATATAAAAGTACCTTGAATTTTTAAGTTTAATTATAAAGCAAAATGCACATTCTGCGGATATGTTCGTGAGAATATAAATTTTTTGTGTAACAAAATCATTCTATGACGAAATCTACAACACTTGTCAATCATATTGCATGTTGTATCTAAAAATAACATGTGGGCATCCCATGGTCTAGACAGGTTTTGTGTCAGGCCCTATTTCAAATTAGGGCCTGAACTTCAGGTTACATTCGCCCAGGTCAATAACAATAAAATACTCCTTGTATTTAAGCACTTTTATGTAGAAAGTTGCGTTTGAATACGACAAGTAGAAATATTTCTTTTGAATTTTTTAAAACATCGGGTTTTTACTTGCACACATGTGCCACACGCTAAAATTGGCCACATACAAAATCACCTTTAGAATCGATTGGGCACATACAAAATCACCTTTAGAATCGATTCCAACATTTCCCGAGCACTAGGATGTAAATACTGCACTGTTTCGGATATTTGAACTTGAACTTCAGACATTTGAACCAGTCAAAAATTATAGCATACTAGAAAATACATGCATGGAGAAGCCCTCACCTTGCTGACAAAACCGTTGTATTTTCCGAACATAAAGTATCCAAAGTAGTTGTCATGGTAACACAATAATTTTTTAAGAATATTCTTACAAATGAAAATCGCCTAAAAATATCACTTTTAATTACAAAATTATCAATTTCCCAACATATATGTTAGGTATGTAATTATACGTAATACAAGCTTCAATTTAAGGTAAAATTCAACCACAAACAATTCACAAAACGTTTTAAAGTGTTCTTTATAAAACTAAACTGCCTTTAACTATTAAATGGCTTTATCGATAAACTTTTAGTTTGCAATAAAATGATTTCAAATTCTCGCTTGCAAATAACTTTGCTTTATTTTTATTTAAAAAATTCAATATAATAAAAAAGGGAATCAATATTAAAGATACACTGAAATTATATGCTGTCTTGTTTAGTTGTTTCATATACGCAAAGGCCGTCGGGTTTTAAAGCCATTATAAAATCAATATTTAAAACAAACTTACCTTCGTTAACGTCGGCTCCCTTCTTTTAGCTGATTCTTTCGCCCTTTCTTTCTTGAAATTTACAAAATCTTGCAGAAATACGAGCAAAAATGAAGAATATTTGCAAGAAATTTATCAATCATCAACTCATCAAATCAAGAAATGTTTGATTGTTTGCTATTTTGCTGTCGTCATGCAGTCGTTATAATGCAAACTTTAAATTGGACCAATCAGTGTCTGTTATTCATGACAGTCCGCCATATTTTTGAGATCAGTGAGGATGACCACCCATCGTTGGTGACCGATGCCCGCGCTCATTGATGAACTTTAGACTTCGCTAATGCTTTCGTTTCCCCGGGTGTAAATAACCGGGGGGAATTAGTACCCTCGCACGGCGCTTTGCGCCGCTGGCTCGGGGAAAATTTAGATATTTTGAAATACCGAAATAATAAAAGACGCAAATCTGCAGATACAAAGCTTGAAAATAACACTCTAAATAGTGTGTTGGGTTGTGTTTCGAACAAGACTAATGCCAAAAAGATATGTCGAAAGGGGCCAAAGTTATATTCAGTGAAAGGAATGGCTCAGTGATGCATTGTTTGAGTATTTTGTATACTAGTATGGTATTACTATTTTACATTGTTCGATTACAGAGTATCTTTCAAGCAGATTTTTTTGGGTGATATTTTTGTATTTCTACCGCAAATACTCATGGAATTCTGTAATATTTAATCATCCCATCATATACTCCGGAACGTTTTGTGAAGACAGTAGCTGTGATGTGGGGGGAAAGTCATTGACGACTCTTCCTTTTAATAACAACAACGATTGGGCCATGAAAACGGAAGTCCTTGTTCATTGGCCAGTACAGCTGAAGGACTATTCAAATGAGCTAACAAACAAGTTCCCTCCGACTGGATTTAGGATGTACCACTAAAACCTATGTTGCTCGAGTCATAAAATTCCATGATTTGCTAGACTATGGCTATAAATCATAAACTCAGCACTTTAGTTTAGAAATCTTGCACATATTCTGTTGAAGTTTTTGAAATATTACACTGTTATTTTCAAGGTGTTATTTTAATCCCTAAAAAATTTGAGCTCTTTTAACTTCAATTTTGGGGATTAATAAACCCTTTGAGGGGTTAAAAACTTTGGCAAGCAAATTCTAGTGGTGTAATAGGAGGTTAAAGTTTTAACTGCAATATTAGGGTTAAAATAACACCATTTGATGGGTTAATTATAGACTTTGGCGAGCTAATTTGTATGCAAGTTTAACACCACTAACAGGTTATTTATTCATATCACATAATTATGCTTGTTCAAGAAATATTGAAAACAAATTTGTATGACTTTCAGGATGTATTTATATCCTGAATTTATAAAAATATAGAACAAATCAAAGCTGAATAAATCAAGTTATGGTGATGAAAGATTTGAAGGTTCGTGTTGTAAGAGTGCTCCGCTGAGGGGACAGACTTAATATAATTAGTTAATATTAACTGCAACTTACATTTAAAGTAAACAATATAGTTTTGATTGACATTTATCTACATTAGTATTCCGAATAGAACAGAGCAGAACTGAACAAAGGTTTACCCGCTAACCAGACAATGTTTATATAAAGTTGAAACAAACTAACCAGTATTGCAAACCAAATAAAATAAGTATTTACGCCAAGATGTAAACATGGGAAGCCTCACAGAAGTAAGTTTGTGTTATTTATATATGTAATGTAATTAAGCGATAGTATTGTAATATGTATTTGTTTAATTTTGATCGAATAAGAATCTATTAAGAACTATAGTATACAATTTAATCCTTCATTTATATCTAAGAACAAGCATGTTGAGCTTAGAACGCCCCAAAGAGTTATGAACAGCCACGTATGTGTGTTTATATCTAAATTTTAGCCTTGTTCAATAATTCGCATAATAAATAATTCCCCTTCTGATCGGCTTGATACTAACATTTTGACACGAAACATTCAAATGACTTTACAAATTGTCAAGTTACAATTGAATAGATAGATAGAACACTTTATTTAAACACGCTGACCTTGTCAACTGACAGAGGCGCCGGAATATCGATAATTGAGGGGGCAGTTAGTCATATATTCGTGTTCTGCCCAATTAATTTCTTTTGAAATCGATTGTTTTTACAGTCTGTGAACACGAATATATGAATATCTGCCCCCGCAATTATCGATATTCCGGCACCTCTGTCAACCGAAGCTGATTTCCACAAGGGGCGTGCATATTAGAAGTATACAGTATATAAAAAAGTATCTAAAAGCTATTTACAATATATAAGATATAGTATAAGAATATATATAAAGTATTGGTCATTGTCAAAAATGTCGGGGAAACAGAGCAACTTGCACAAGACATGACCGGCTGATGATTATTTTGTAGAAGTCATCAGTCAGGATTTTAACAGAACCACTTTTCTTAAGAACCACTCTTCTTCCGTCATTGCTTTTATGAACTTTATGAAAGATACAATGGACTATAACATTTATATCCTACATATAATTATACCTGTATATAATTACATGCTATACAATATATGTTAGAAAAAAGAACATCATGCAAAAAATTCAACAAACTCACCATGCGTCCATCCGTGGGACTTTGCCTGTCTGGTTCGCTTGCATGTTGTGTCACTGCAGTATGAATACTTGGGTATACACAAATGCTAACATCATCTCTCTTCAACCTCGGATGATTTGGCTTCGTTTGATTAGGCAAACTGGAGAATCTTCGCTCGTAATCTTCAGATAGAAAGTGAATTGTGCATAAAGTCAAAGGCTCGAAGACCTGTTTTGCCTTCACGAAGTCAACCCAGATTTTCTGTTTTCTCTTTGCTTCAG